TTTGCTTTTTTAAACTTGGAAAAAAATGCAATCTCAGAGAATATTTCCCATGTGTAGACAGACAGAGAAGTAATCGGTAAGAAGCTGCTGAAGTTTTTTCACTGGCTATTAGAATCTGTTGAATTGATAAACCATCATGTGTTTACACATGTGTGAATTTTTCAAAGTATTAATTCTTAGAGCATAATTGCCAAATTGGAAAGCATATGCATTTTTTAACAATTTTTAATCTGTTTTCTAAAATGTTGTACCAGTTGAGACCTTCTCCAACAACAAATAGAAGGATCTGTTTCCCCCACACCCATCTGGTAATTCTGTGTATGGTTGGTTATTTACATTTCTTTATGATAGCTTTTCATGTGCTTGGTCAGTCAACAAATATTCAGTAAGCATCCACTTTGTGCCACACAGTGGAAACATAGTGGTTAATAGGGCATGGTTACTAATTTCTGGACCTTACAGTCTAGTGAAAAAGCATGAAAAACACCACTACTAACTACAGAGCACTGCTGTCTGGGATAGAACGGTGGATGCGATTGTGCTGTAGGAACTCAGTAGAGGTGCGATGCATCTGTGCTCAACTCAAGGAAGTCTTTCTAGCAGGAAGGGGATGGAGAGTATGGGTTGCTACAGGAGGACACAATCTGTGCAAGCAAGATGCAGAAGTGGGGTTTGTAGGAGTATTGGGAATTAAAGATGCAAGTCCAGGAGGAGTGAAGGAGGAGGTGGAGACATAGAGGAATCACACCATTGAGATGGCAATATAGTTTATTTCTGCCACACGCTCTGTGACCTCCTATTGTGACAAGATGCTGTACTCACGCAGTGATTTATCATTAAAACTGAGAGAGAACAGGAGAGTGCAGTTTGGCCTCCTTTCCTAGCCCTCACGGTGGGAACACAACCCAGCCAGGAAAGAAGTGAAACCATCAAAGCAGCCCAGAAGCATAGACCTCTGCTTCTCAATCTGTGGGGCTCAGTCCATTAACACAAGTGTCTCCTGTGGGCTTGTCACAAACGCAGATGTTCAAGTCCGACCCCAGATCTGCTAAATTAGAATCTACATTCAGGTGAAGGCCCTAGTGGGTTTGTACGTACATCAAAGTTGGGGAAGCAATAGCTTCATGTTGAAGGGTTCCAGCATTGGCAGGAAACAGAACTAAGTTCAAATCCCGGCAGCTTATTGTGATTTTTGACTTTGGATAAATACTGAACTTTGGTGTGTTTCATTCACTTCATAATTAAAATGCGAAGATGACAGTAACTGTACACATGCTTTAGGATCATGGGATATGTACACGAAAACACCAATTTAAGGGTTTGACTTTGCTCTGTTTTTTCAGTAAATGAAATGAGATGATCATTGAGGGTGAGATCCCAGGTCACCCTCCTCAAAGAGGGCTGCTATGAAATTAAGTGTCCTACCATAGGGAGAAATCCAATTGGTTGAGTACCTGGCAGCCACAAAATCTAATTTGATTCACTGGTAGCCCTGTGAATTTCTCTCTCTTTTCCTTTGGAGAAACAGACCAGCCAAAGGGCCAGCAGTGAGCAGAGGCACCACTTTCATCTAAATGCTCCAAGTGCTGGATTCATAAATGTTAATGGACCGCACAGAAAACCAGTGGACCAGGGCAGAAGGAGCCATGGAGAGCCCTGCCGTGCAGAGGCAGGTCTGCAGCGACTGGGTACAGGTTACCTGACATCTGTTTCCCAATATCTGCAGGTCAGGCCTGCTACTGGTGCAGAAAGAGACAGGCCCATCACACAGGAGCCTTTTTTAATGCATTGCTATCTGATTAGATGGAAATTTATTAAAGAATAGGATTAACAAGGAGATATCAGTGGTGAGGGAGCAGAGTATCCTAAAATCGAGTCAGTCAACAAACTCTTTTGAGTGTCTGCAATCTGCCAGGCCCTGGGAACATATCAGAGGCAGTCCCTGCCCTCATGGTCCCTACAGACTAGAGAGTAAAAGGATGCGGGGCACATTATCAACTGTGTCACCATTTATAAATATGTACTGGTAATACATAGCTTAGGACATGGTGGTCCATGTTGTAAGAGGCTGAGTCAGGTGGGAAGGCATCCTGGTTCTGACCCTAACTTAGTGCACCATCTCCAACAGTTCCCTTTCCCACCTCTCTGGCACTGTTTCATCAGGAAAATTGCAGATTTGGATTTGATGGACTGCATGCTATTCCCCATTTCTAGTATCTGTGGTGAGGTTTACCAGTTTCCCATCCATGCCTTTCCCTACCCCTCCAAAAAAAAGGGAGAAACCTGTTTCCTGAAAAAGGAAGACAGCCATAATCCCCTCTGTAATTTCACAGACTGTGTGCTCATCCTTTGTGACTGTAAGATGCAAGCCTAACCATTGTGTTTGAGATTTCAACCACTAAAGACACTGGCCAGTCTGAAAATCCACTCTCTTCTCATGGAGGATCCTGCCTGGCTTGAGAGTTAAGAGAAGAAATTCTAGAATTCCTCCTGCCTGCAAGAATCCACTTGATGGGATCTCACCCACACACTTAACTTCCCTTGGGTGTCAGTTTAAGAGAGGAGGTTGATAACATCCAAACAAACAATAAGAAATGGGCATACTTGGAACATCAGAAACACCGAATAGGAGTTCTCATGATTATAAGGAATGTGCTTAGTATTTCTTGGGTGGTACTGATGGACTGATCAGAGGCACTGGCTCAAAATCTGATTAAAGCACTCTTCACAGAAACATTAATAATACATTGCTCTGTGAAGACAGGAAAGAAAACCCTATAATAGCAATCCATGGATCTGATCTCTGTTTTTGCCCTTGTACCAGCTCACTGGGTGACACTGGTCAAGTTAGTCCATTTCTTTGTGTTTTAGTTAAATTAGGATTGGTTTATCTCAACCTGGAACTGTGAGGATCCCGTGAAGTCACATGTACGATACTGCTTGGGAAAATAGTACCAGCTTCAGGAATGTGAGCTCCCATTATGAAAACTACAACAGTAGAGATGGCAATGCATGCACCCTTCGCACATTCTCTGAAAACTATGATGCTACATGGTATGGATAGTTCACCACCACTCATAGGACAGTGGAAGGAAGTGCAGATATGAGGCTGTGTTACGTGGTCAGCAGGGTCTTCCCTTTTGGTAGTAGGGCCTTTCCTGGGATTGTCTTAAGAATGAAGTCAAGGTGTGAGTGTCGGATGTGGACGTGCACCCAAATTAGATGTGGCTGTTGACAACGGTTGTATTTATATAGAGTACCTATGTCTAGGTTCCTCCCTGTGACTCTCGCCTGTACCAGCATCTCCAGGGAGAATGGAATCAGCCTTCTGAACTCATGCTAATTGGAAGGAAAGTCTGAGGATACTCCGCCAAGTGGGATCTCAACTTGAGATCCGCCAAGTAGGATCTCAACTTGAGTTCCGAGTTGTTATTCCCTGAATCTCAGTCTTCTCCTTCTCTAACCACTTAACATATCAAGATTCCCTCGACCTATTTTTTTCAATCATTAACTCTCTTCTAAGCTTTAGCTATAAACTCTGAGTACAGATAGAAGTGGTTTTATGTGGAAGCTTCTTTGTAAAATGAATTTGTTATTTCCCTCTAGTGAGAGCAGGTATTTGTTGAAATTCTACTTCAAATAAAGCTACAGTTAGAGCTCTAGAGACTGCAACTCATGGAAATCTCCACCTCTGTCTTTGAAGTTCTTACCTTATCTCTAGAGAGATTAAACATGGACATAAAAACCTAACTTTAAAAGTGGGTCATGTGAAGATGGCTCAGAGAGGTAGACAAAGCTGGACATTACAGGTGCCACAAGCACCACCATCCAGTTACCTCTGGTGCTTACCAGAGTGAAGCCATCCTGGCATCAGTTCTTGGGACTGGGGTTGTAGGGAGGGTCAGGGAATGAGGGAGGGAGAGAAGGAAGTGAAGGAGGAGACAGGAAGAAAAAGAGAAAGATCAATATGCAGTGAATTCTAAAAGGATGTTTCAAGGGACAACTTCAGCAAAAATATGAAAAATTGGAATCAGATCTAGCCCAGAGAGTTAGAGAATAAAGAAAAAAAAATGGGTCACATGTCGCATCTGTTTTATCCTGAGAAGTCAGAGTATTTGGCAAAGTGGCTCAGAACTGGAGCATTTCACTCCAGAGAAATGCTGGAGCCATTGGTGCTGGTGCCAGCACCACTCCAGATCTGTGGACTCCCAGCTCCCTCCATCCACAGTGTCCTCCTCTGTGCCTCCACCGGCCTCCCCCTCTTGTCTTGCATGCCTGATGCCTGCGAACACTCTTAAATTCAAGAACTTGTTAGTATGGTTCAGAAGAAAGAATTCATTGTGAGCCAGATAAAAGCTCAAGGGCAAGTGGGACCTCTCATGGCTACTGATATCTAGAAAAGATGTTGATGAATAAGAGAGAATTTTCCAAACTCAAGTGTGATGAGAAGCATGGAGTATTGTACAGCCAGAAAGCAGCAAAACTACCAGAATCAGCAGAGAGTCTACACTAAAAAGTAGTGGGAGTAAGAGGTGGAAATGCGATGTATACAAGAATCTAGACGCCAGATGAAATGATCATTCTGACAGTAGAAATCTGAAGAGTTTTTGGAGGTAAGAGGAAAGCAGAGTCTTAGGAGGACCACATAGATCATACACACAAAAGGTTGGAAAGAACCTTTTGTAAGACCAGCAAGATCAATTTAGAGGCTAGTGCAGAAATCGAAGATTGAAGGCTGGAGGGTCTGAGCATATCTAGAAGCAGCTGGAATGGAGAACAGATGGTGAGGAAAAATGAAGAAAAGAGATCCTAGGGCCTGAGAGCTGACAGGTACGGGATCTGACTGACTGAGCCGTAATCAGATGAGAATCATTAACGTTCCCAGCCTGTGGGAGAGAGAGGACATACTGCGGCATCGTTTCCTCCAGAAATGCCAACTGTCTGCTGGTGAAGGTCTCCCTTCCCAGTCCCTTTGGGCTCACCGGATCTTTCTCTTGCAGGAGAAAGATGTGACTCCAGATAAAAACCTACTGACCAAGGTGCAAGATGCTGCGCTATGGCTGGAGTCTTTGTCGGATGCCAAACCTGACAAACCGTCCAACTCCACCACGTCCTCCATTGCAGATTTTTTCCTTGCCCTAGCAATCTGCAACTCCGTGATGGTGTCTACAACTACCGAGCCCAGACAGAGGGTAAGGACCAGTGATAGCTGGGGATGAAGATGGGGAGCAGGGGGAAGGGGAGGTGGGGAAGGAGGGGGAAACGTGGTACTTGAGTCCCAGCCACGGTGTCACTATTTCATCACTGTGAGGCCTTGTACAGGTATCTTACCTATTTTAGGTCTATTTCCTCATTTTGAGTTAAAACAGAAAAGTTATATCAGAGCTCTCTGTGCAATTTCCAAACCTTGCTATCTGCCCGCAGGCTAGGTACAAAGAGCTAGTTTCCTGAGCACTTGGCAATGTGCCAGTCCCATGCTAAACATTTCTCCTCATTATCATTTAATCCGCACAACCCAAAAACTTGGTGAGTGCATCTTTGGATTTAGCAAGTGAAGAAACAGTGGGACTGAAAACGTGAATAACTCAGTGCAAGTAGTACGGTTAACACATGGCAGAATCATCTGTGTCACTCCATAATGGTTCCTTATATCGTGTTTTATAGTTGCCTCTGCCTTTACATAGGGATTGAAAACTAATTTACATTATACGTGGTTATTCCCATGGAAATAATATAAATAGATGGCTATCTATGTAAATTTACACTTTGATGTCCACTCATGGTAGAGTTGTCTTCAAGTATCCACAAACTTGGCCAAGCTCCCTGATGAGAATAATTAGGTAGTACAACTTAGGGCTATAAGAAAAGAGACAGTTCACTCAAGCACACAACACAACCTCCCTTTCCATGCCCAGTTTTGAAGCCACTCTGAAAAGTCACTTCAGGCATAGAAAGGCCACCAAGTAATTTCAAGTTTTGGGGGGAAGATTAGAGAGACAGGGACCATTTTCTGAGAAATTAATTCTATTTTTGAGAAGGGAAAGAGTGTCATTTTAGAAAAGCCCTCAACTCTCTCCAAAATTAATGAGGGGGCTTAAACTGGAGGATTGCTCAAGAGTCCAATCTCTGGATTTGGTCTCCTAACCCCTAGCTCTGTTGATTAACAGCCAGCTGATTTAACCTCTCAGTGTTTCAGCCCTTGTCCATCAAAGTGTTGATAGTATCCCATGAGTATGCTGGGAGGATAGAATTTTTCCTCCTACAAAGATAAAAGTAGGTAAGTTTTCCATCAGGATGCAGGGAATATGAACTTTTAAGTATTGGGCTTTCACTTCCTGGTCTTTCCCTTGACCGTGACCAGAGTGGGATACTTAAAAAAATATATAAAAGAAAATGAGCACTTTCAACCCCTAGAATGTCAGGCCTAGAAGGAAGCATCTCAGCTAACTATAATTCCCTTTTTATGAGTGTTTGAAGGCCACAACAAAGATTTGCCCTGGTCACAGATGGCCTGGATACTTTACTTACTGCAAAATCTGTTTCATATTCTGCAAAATTATCTCTAAAATGTAGAGTTACATTCTGCTGTCATCCTCTGACCACAGGTCACCATCCCCCCCTCCAACAAGGCTGTGGGGACATCCCTGGAGAAGATTCAGCAGCTTTTCCAGAGGCTGAAACTAATGAGCCTCAGTCAGTCGTTCTCATCCACTGCACCATCTGATACAGACCTGGGGGAGAGTTTGGGGGCCAATGGACCCGCCACGGACTCAGATGAGAAAGATGACACATCTGTGGACAGCGGCGACTACTCCACTGACGGTGGCTATAGGAGCAGCACATGGGACCAGGGTGACATCCTGGGGTCTGGGTCAAGTGCTTCCTTGGAAAAGATAATGGAGGCCCCAGACCGTGGCCAGGCTACACCTGACCTGTGCTACGAGGCTGAGAGCCCTGACGAGGCAGCCCTGGTGCATGCTGCGCATGCCTACAGCTTCACGCTGGTGTCCCGGACACCAGAGCAGGTGACCGTGCGCCTGCCCCAGGGCATCTGCCTCACCTTTGACCTCCTCTTCACCCTGGGCTTTGACTCTGTCAGAAAGAGAATGTCGGTGGTTGTGAGGCACCCACTGACCAATGAGATCATCGTCTACACCAAGGGGGCTGACTCGGTCATCATGGACCTGCTGGAAGACCCAGCCTGTGGTGAGTCCATCCTCATGGGGCTCCAGGCAAAGGGCTTGTAGTGTGACAGGCAGTGTGGAAGGGTAATGAGGAACTCAGGTGAAGGTGATACCTGGTCCAGCAGCTCACACTGAACACAGGCCCACAAGGTACTTTAAAGCAATATCCTTACAGTGTGAGGCATTTCATAGGATGACCTGAGAATGTGCAATACTCATTCACCCATTAAGCATCCCGTAGAGAAGCCTCTGCAACCTCACTTACCCCACTGCCCACTTTTCCAAGCTCATTTAAACCTTCGCACAGTTTTTTGCACCACAATATACCATAGCTCTAACTCTTCACTTTGGACAGAAGCTGACTCAAGCCAGAAAGAGCAGTGCCTTAGATAGTATAGTTCATTTAGTGTTAAATCCTCAGCCTAGGTATCCTGAATCCCAGTTCAGTTCCCATTTTTGCTGCCAGAATTCTACACCAGGCTCAGTTCACTCCGGGAAGCCTTGAGTGTCCCTCTTTTTCATCCTTTTCCCCAGTCTCCCCCAGATGGATTTTCATAAAGTTGCACTGAGCCAGAAAAATGTTCCAAAGTCCCCACATATCAGTGTCCAATTTTGGAGCAGCATGAATTAGTGTGCAGAGGCTTCCTGATTGCTAACAAGAAGAAGACAGTTATGAGGCTATGATTCTCCCAGGATAGTAGATTCTAGCCAAGCTTTAGAATTGCCTGGGAAGCCCTGTGCCTCGTGCATTATCAGCTGTGGAGCAAAGCCAGGAGGTTCATAGAGATTGATTAGTGTTTAGAATGGGAAAGGAGCTAATTACTGCTCTTCATCCCCAGATGCTGGCAGACAAGTGAATTCACTGCTTCAGAGTCAAGGGAGCCACAGTGCTCGCTCTGGGCCACAGCCATCCAAGTGGCCCTGGAGGTGTTCTCTATTTCCTTACCAGGTAGCAAAATAAATTGGAGATCATTCCAATAAAAGATTCATGTGCCATGTTACCATATCAAGAGGCAACCCCAAGTTTAATATTCTTTCAGCATTTGAACATTCAGTTTGACTCTGGAGTTCCTAGCAGCCTAAGCAAAAAGAAAAACTCAAAGGCCCCCAGCAGAAGACAAGAGTTTAGGAAATATGAAAGTTAATGCTTAGTAAACCTGAAAGATAATATTTGAAGACATCTTTTGCACTGTCCAAAAACAGCCTTAAAGTAGTACATGAGAGAAAACTTAGTTCATTGGACATCCTTGTACTCATCTCACTGTTAAGAATCATATTTTTAGTTTTGCATTGTCTGCAGAGATGTGTGAGAGACACAAATTCTGTTTACTACTTTAGGCTGGTAAAAGTTTCAGTCTCACTACAGTAAAGGATTCTGAAGGCTTTTCCAAGCTCAGCTTCCCAGATCCCGCAGTTGACAAGTGATGTCTGTGACAGGTAGCTAAAGGCAAGGCTGATGGCACTCAGCCTTACAAGTCTCTTATTCCCTGAGAGATAAAAATACTATAATTGCATAAAAACAAAACTCATTCTGAAAAAAAAAATGTATTGTGCAAATTTAACCAAAAGTTATAACCAAACTTATAAGTAACACATTGACATATTTTCCATACTAGAGTGACAGGAAATACCCATTTTTTTTTTTCTAAGACCATCTCTTCTGTACAAAGAAAGCCTAAGTCAGCAAACCCAAGATGACAAAGAACATAGCTAATGAGACCCAAGTTTGTAGCCATCTTGGGTCCTACCTTGATACAAGAATTGAAGAAAGTGACAGTGATGGAGAGTCTAAGACAACAGTCTCCAAATCAGTTGACATCAGAGCTAATCCAGCAGCATGTAGCTAATAAAAATTCCAGCATGTAGCTAATAAAAATTCAGACATCTGGTCCTCTGACCCAGCAGGGATTCAAATGGGACTTAAAGATCTCTATTACTTTAGTTCCCCAGGGATTTTCCTACAAACACACGTTTGAGAACCGTACCTTAGACCCCCTTGTCTGTGTTAGTACTTATTCCAGCCAACTTTTTGATGAAGTGTTAAGAGAGGAGAATTTAAGGACTTGTGGAATTAGGCATCTTCCAGGGCAACCTGACAGCCAGGAGCACTCTTAGCTGTTTCCAGGAATGGTTGGAAAGGAATTCCTCCTCTAGAGCATCCCTCATCTAATAGGAAGATCCAAACCACTGGGGAATAGACATTCTTATGCGTTTGTGTACATGGCCTCATGAGAAACAATGGCTGTTTGACAGTGACTGACACTGACTTGGGGAAGAAGATGAGGAAAATCCAAGCCCGGACCCAAAAACATCTAGATTTGTATGCAAGAGACGGCCTGCGCACCCTGTGTATCGCCAAGAAGGTGAGGATCATGGTTCCCAAGCAGGCTTTGAATATCTTTAGATGGCCGAATGGTAAACCCTTCATTTTTCTCTGTATAAGATCCTTAATGTTGGTTATTTTAAAGCTTTTAAGATTAGCCATTCTGACTCATCAAAGTTATGGATTTTTGTGGCAAGTTTTCTGGAGCAAAAATCTAACTTAGTTAAGATCTCATATCACTATGATTTTGTCTTTCTACACTTTTCGTTGTGTCTAATGGAGAATTTGTAACTCAGAATTTCCAATACAATCATTTTGTCTTCAAAGTAGTCTTTAAAATGTGTATTCTTTGCTTGGATTCTAATTTGGAGAGCTTTCTGTGGTCATTTAAGATCCAGATTTCTAGTTGCTCTAGAAAGTCTAGAGGATCTGGAAAACTTGGTCTCTGTGGAGTGGCAGCAATCCCTTATAACCAGGTAGAAGCTGATTCCTTTCATGAGGGACACAAGATAAGTTCAGCCATGTTCTGCTTCCAGTCACAGTGCCTACCCCTACCCTTGGCCCAGCTAGAGTCTTGTAAATTACCCTTCTCCAGCTCTATAGATATTTAACTTTGCACCGCCTGTGAAAGAGGCTGGCAACAGGAGCTATGGCAGGGGCACCCTAATATCCTGTGATGGGCATACATTTCTAGATGGCTAGCAGTGATTTCTTCTCCATAAGTCCCTATGGCTCTTGATCTCTTTTATATTTCTTGGTGCAGAATATAGATTGAGAGCACTCACTAGACAGCCAGACCCACCTGGGCACAACTCCCAGTCTCTTACCACTTTTAGATGCATGGGCTAGAACATATTCCTTTGTTTCCCTGAGGGTTTTCTTTTTCTCCGTAAAATGTTAATGGTCCCTGCCTCATAAAAAATAACCAAGGTAATACATGTACAGGACCCAGGACAATACCAAGCACTCACTGCTATATTCTGAACTGTAATATCCTTAGCACTTTCTATTTTCGATTCAAGTTTTCATGCAGATTTTCCCTCCCTCTTCCCCCCAGTAGACTGTACATTCCTCCAAAGTAAAGGTACATGTGTCTTCTTGGTTTGCCCTATAGTGTCATGCAGAGGGACTCAAGGAGTAGTTAGTACTTGAACAAAAGACAGAATGCACACCGAGTTAATGGAAGGACCTCAAAGTGCCATGAGATCCAGGGTGGGGGGAGATGGCAGCTCCGTTTGTATGACACCATGCCTGGGGAGGGGGGTGATGTGCAGGCTGCTTCATTTCCTGTCCCTCTCCACCTTGCTCACAATCCTTCCACCAACTGATATATTCAGGTGACAAAAGAAAAGCTAAGGGCACTGCTGTTTCATGGCCTTTGAACTTGCTCTTCCCCATGACTGACCCTTTCTCACCATTGGATTTTAGTTTGCTCCCCACCGGCTAGAGAGAACTGAACATCCCAAAGAAAGCAGCCTCTTCCTCCAAGTGATCTCCTGCCCCTCCTACTCCATTATATCACCCTTTTTATTACCTGCATGTTACTCCTCGAAGTGATCTAGTGTTTTATTTACTTGGCTAATGTCTGTCACCTTCCATCAATTTATAAGCCTGAGGATCCTAGACCTTGTCTATCTCAATCATATCCAGTCTCCTGAGCATAATAGGCATTCAACAGATGTTTGGATCTAGAATTCACTGATGTATGCATTCGATTCCCCATCTAGTTGTATGGTAAAATTCAAACAGGCCCAGGAGACCCAGATGATGGGGCAGGAAGAAAGAGCCTGCTTATAACTTACCCACAGTTATTAATGAGCTTCTTCCTGTCCTGTAGGTCATAAGTGAAGAGGACTTTCAGAGATGGGCCAATTTCCGGCGCCAGGCCGAGGCATCTTTTGACAACCGAGATGAGCTTCTAATGGAGACAGCACAGCATCTGGAGAACCAGCTCACCTTACTCGGTAGCTAAAAATAAGTCATCATTATAAGAAAAAAAAAAAGAATGCTACAAGTTACAAAGGAAGTTCTTGGCCCTAGTCTGATACTACCATGAATCTGTCTCAATTAGCAGCAGCCTTCCCTGGGTCCCCTTCTAGAAACTGGGTATAAACAGGCCATATGAATATCCAACCCAAGCTTCCTGAAGTCCCGCTGTGGGGTATGTGCATTCCCTGCAGGAAGAAGCTCCTTCTCTCCAATAGCACATCATTCTGCTCATTCAAATGTTTGCTGAACACCTACTCCGTGCAAGACAGAATACTAGCCTTTGGGACTACAATGGCAAATGAATCACAGACTCTGCCCTCCCAGAGCTCAGGGTCCAGTCAGGATGCTGGATGACTAAGCAAGTGATGAGCACTGGGCGGGAAGATTTATCAAATGAAAGAGAAGCATAGAGCAGGAGATGCCAAAGTGGCCCTGGAGCCAAGGAGGGCCTAGAAGGAGAAAGAGAAAGGAAAGGGAGCGTGTTCTAGGCAGGGAAAAACCCAAATGAGGGCCCAGAAGTGAGATCCTGGGCCAGATGGAAAGTGAGGGATTTGCTGTGCCTGGACCACAGGGTGTGTGTGGTGGAGGTACTGACGGGAAGCCACAGAGATCAGTGCAACCCAGATTATGAAGGGCCATGTAAATCATATGCTAAATATCTGAAGAGGAGAAGGATGTACTTTGCAAAACTCATGGCTATACAGAAGGTAGTGTGACCTGCTAGGGAAAGATGAGGAGCTCTGAGGCCCGTTAAGAGCCAGGCTGTGTTGCTGCCAAAGGAAAAGCTTTTCAGAGGCCAAAAGTGAGGCTGGGTTTATCAGCTCTAACCTCCCCACTGGGGAACAGAATGAGGTCTTAGTAACCTTAGTAAGGCAATGCTCAGTAACATCACTGGCCACACGGCGAAAGCATCCTTCCTTCTTGGGGAGTATCCTGTCCATAGGAAGAGGACCAAATTTGAGCCCTGCCATGACCTGACTGTGTGCCCAGCAGCATGTTTCTGCATCCCTCTGAGCCTTAACTTGTCTTGTGGATGAATCACAGCCCTTGGGTGTCCAGCTAGGCAGAAGTCTGAGGGAAAAGACCACGCACTATAAGATGGTGATGTCTGTACATAAAAAAGGTAGCAATAAGATTTAGGAGGACAGCTGGCATGGAGGGGGAAGTTATTTTGCTCCTGACCCATGCCCCATGTTTCCTGCATCTTGGCTGCAGAGACCTTAGCTTGGAGGTGTAATGATTCATATAGACATATGAAGCCTTTTAGCAATAGCCGGAGGGCAGTGAGACCAGACAACTCTGTCCACTACACGAGGCCACCCATGAGGGCACCTGCCCCCTTCTCACCTGAGAGAGACTTCTTTGGTTTGGGGTGGCACTCTAGTCCTGGTTGATGATAAGAATATCAGCTGGCTTTGCTGGAATGGCACTCTCTTGTTATTGTCTGCCAGCTTCCCCTGGCTGGGAAAGACGATCACAGCCTTCCTGTTTCATTTTCTCTTTTGCACAAGTAAATGTGTTTTTGCTCAACTCTCCTTCACTGTGATATAAATTGGTTTCAGAATCTCACCTCGCAGGCTAACCCCGGAAAGGAAAGAGGAGGTGTGAGCCACCCTTGTCCTGGGATTTTCTACCTGGCATTTGGGCCTGAAATGCAAACCAAGTCCATCTGGGGACAGAGAGGTTCTGTTTTTCTCCTGAAGGTGACTTGGGAAGGTGGCTTAGAAAAAAAATTTCTCTTGCCACCCAGAAAGCTTCATTGCCTTCACACTGGGTTTCAAAATAAGAAATGATCTTCTCAATATGCACCCAGTGTAACTGCTTTGCCAACCTATTATCAATCTGGATTATTAAAAGAAACAAAATGCCTTCTCCTGCCCAGAGTAAAATGGGCAGCCATTAGTCTGTGGCCTGAAATGAATCTCATTTTAAATGCAGATTTATTTTTGCTTAATCACTTAGCAACTATTCAATATTTGGGTATATATTCATCAGAGTGGATATAAAGCTTGAGCTCACTCAAAAATCGCTGGCATCTGCCTGTTAAATTCCCTCCAAGAAGATTATCAAAAATATGAACCCCTTTTAATTCTGCTGCAATAAGTTGCAGAGCAGAGAGCTCCGTGTCTTCATTTTTTTTTTCTCTTATTGCCACCATGCCAGTTCAGGCCACCATCAGCCCTCCTGGGCACTCTTTGCTACCTCACTGTTAGCTGTGAAACTCATCCTGCCTCCTGCCATCTCTAATCTAGTTTTTAAAATGATCTTCAAGTCCCTCTCCAACTTGGCACCTTTTAATAGCTTTCTTTGCTATCAAATAAACTGCAAATCCTGCAAGGCCCTGGCAAGGTTCGGTACCACCTACCAATCCTCATCTCTCCCTGGCCTCTCACGCACTCCATTCTGCCTTCTGTCCTGTGGCTATGCCCATCCTTCTACCCAAGATGGTCTTCCTCCCTCACCTCTGATAGTTCCTCCTGCCCTAGACTTACATGGCATTCCCTCTGCAAGGCCCTCCTAGATCTCAGTGAAGTTCAGGTTCCCTCATATACACTCACATGGCACACGGCCGGCTCTTCCTCATCTTGTAGCTCAGTTGTACATCCTTATTCAGGGACCTTGGGTGACATCTCGGGGAAGTTTAAAGCCTCAATTACAATCTGTGCAAAACAGTTTCTCAGAAATAACTTTCCTGGTGAGAAGGCATAATTCTTATTCATACTCAATAGCCTTGATGTTCTGAGAAGGTAGAGACCAGCTGTCCCTCATCCACAGTGTTTTCCTGGGTACCTACAGCATGGAAGGTATTTAATAAACATGGCCTGGCTTTGCAGAAGTTTGGTGGAATGAAACAGCTATGCTTTTGTCATAAACGTGAGCTCTGGTGTCTGTGATTACTCCAGGAGCCACTGGGATCGAAGATCGGCTACAGGAAGGCGTTCCAGACACCATCGCCGCTCTACGCGAGGCTGGGATCCAGCTCTGGGTCTTGACTGGAGACAAGCAGGAGACGGCAGTCAACATCGCCTATTCCTGCAGACTGTTAAGTCAAATGGACACCGTTTACTCCATTAACACAGAGAGTCAGGTGAGGCCAAATTGGGGAGCCACTTGGTGAAGTACAGAGCCACCTTTTGGCCAACAAGAGCAAGAATCATGGGTGGGATGGAGGCAACACCCACAGTGCCTCTACACTAAAATATCACTGGATCCTAGAGTTCAGAAGACCCTGGAAGTTACCTAACCCAGTATCTTCCACCTCATCCCACATCTGATTGACTGATCTCTCTTTCTATTACTTCTCATACCACTTATTAGCAAGTCTTACCTCTCCAGATTCCACCACTGGTCCAGTTCCCATTTTACAGATAAGACGACTGAAGGCCAGCAGGAGCTCAGACTCTGCTAGTTTCTAAGAGGTCAAACTAAGTTGCAAACACTGCTGTCCTACTGAGCTGTGCTATGTACCCTCTACCACATTGTGTACTGACATAGTCTCACTAGTCAGTCTCTTATTGCTTGGGATTAGCTCATCCGTTGAAAAGTTCCAACCAAATTGAAATTATTCTAAGCTTAAAGTTTCTGCATCAAGATGTCTGTCACATTGGTCTGCCATGGAGCAGACATCTAAGGACATATACAGAAGGAGGTATGTGTTGATAGATTGGGAGAGTGGAAAAAAAAAAAAAGCAAATAACCTAAACAGCAATTTTCAACCAGAATAGGTTATGGTTGCCATGTCAAATTTGAATATGTGTCCTCCAAGAATCTTGGAATTCTGTATCTGGGAGGCAATATCTAGTTTCACAAAGCAAATTACAGAAAGAAAGTTTCCACCATCTTCTTGGCTGAGTCTTGCAGGAGGTGGGTGTGGAGACGGACATGTCCAACAGAAGGAAGCAGGGATTGGATTTAGAGGAGGGCATTGACAAGAAAAGCACCGTACTTTAGATACAGTGGGCATGGGCGGCCACAGAGCTAGGGCATCCTATGAGGAACAGGAGAGAGAAGAGGGGGAAGGATAGGGAAATGAAAACAGCCAGAAGAAGACCCAGAGAGGACATTGAAATCTCACTCTTTTTCAGTTCTGCCTGGGGATAACTGAGACCCAGACTAAAAATTTGAGAAGGTTTACACTTGTTTTTTAATTGCACAAAGAAACCATGCACACATCTATTTTAAAGTGTGTATTATTAAAAACATCCGAGACCCACCCGATGAATTGGAAAAATCATTTACTTTCCTATCATGTGCAGATTATAATTAGGTTAAGCTCCGGTGAGTTTTTGAAGTGGAAATAATCTCAGGGAAAACTCTGGCTTTAATTCTGGGCTTGAGAAAAATAGTAATTGGTAGCTTGCTTGAGAGCCTGACATCAGTGATGAAGTGTGAAGGCTGGCCTGGCCTGTTTGGGATGGAAACTTGCCCCACAGTGATCCTTTTCCTCCATCTGCTTCTAAAAGGAGGACATCAGCAAACTGTAAACCTGTGGGGCAGGCTTCTTGGGTGGGCTGGAAGGGTGTCTGTGAGCCCTGTCACACATAATACAATGCATTCCTATAGGAAGCAAATGGTGTCTGTTCATTGACTTGCTAGGGTCCCCTAAGAACGGTGCGTGACAGGTCAGATTAGTCACTGAATCTCTGACTCACTCACTGTTGATCTTTTAAAGCTGTTCAGGACCTTCCAAGATGATGCCTGAATTTTCATCCCTGCCTCTACCCCTGAGCCCACTAAACCTAGAAGATTAGTCTTTCTCATTCTCTTGCCTGGGAATAAATGGAAGCTATGTAAATATGTTCAGCTGGAAAAACTGGAAATATATTCTTAGATTTATTAAAACTCCCAGTTTAGTGTAATTAAATATTCAGAAGATATTTTCTCCAGGGGTTTTAATTTGCCCAATTCACTAAAAATTGATTTCAGGCTACTGCCTTTTTCCTGTATATCTAAAGCAATAAGCGTAAGCATGTTATAGAACCACCTCTCATCCATAAAGTGAGGGAATTACTAACTCATCACTGGTGATACTGGTATATGAGTGAATTTTAAAAGGGACTGGTAGCGACTACTGTTAGTAACATACATTGGAGTTTAATATGTTCCAAAAATTACAGATCTTGAATGTCATTCTCATCTGTAAAGAAAGGATTAAAAATATTTACCTCAGGGCACTGAGAGGATTAAACAAGATTAAAGGAAAAACCCCCTTACTTAGCCAGTACTTGTGTTAGTTATCTATTGCTTCAAAACACATTACCCCAAAACTCAGCAACTGAAACAGACACTTATGATCCTGTAGGTTAGAACCCCAGGAGTATCCTACCTGGCTGCCTGAGATTTGTGGGCTCTATGGAGGTGGCAGTAGAGTTTTCAGGGCTGTGGGTTCATCCAAAGGTTCAAATGGATAGGAGCCTTGGGGGTAAGAAGGCAGCCTGCTTGCAAGTTCACCTCCATAACTGTTAACGGCCCTCAGCTTCTGGCCCTCTGGGCCTCTTTACAACATGCCAGCTGGTTTCACCCAAAGTGAGCCATTTTGAGAGAAAGCAAGACAGTGTATCAAAGGAGAAACAGCAGTCTTTTTATAACCTAGTACAGGAAGTACTGTAGGAAGCCTATTTCATCATTGAAAGGAAGTCTCTTCATCAGACAGAAATCACTAAGTCTCACACACACTCAGTGGACGATTACACCAGGCCATGAATACAGGAAGTGGACATCACTGAGAGTATCTTAGAGACTGCTTACCACCAGTAACCAAACACACTAGATGCTCAGTAAAGAGTAACTATTGTAGTTAACACTCAGAAAAATTGGAAATAAGTAAATTCAAAATTTGAAATAAATTGAGAGATTTGACTTTGAATTTGACTTCTTCAATAACTTGCTACAGGGATATATTGCAGAAGTTGATAGTTGGTACCAACCCCAACCTCCGGCAAAAAATTACTTTGTTCTCTTTCCCATGCAAGAGCCTCCAATATCCTCACTTCCAAAAACACTCCCTACTGCCGCTCTAGGTTTTCTACATAACCTATGGCCTGAAAAACTCAATTTAGCATCTCCTAAAGGAAGATTCAGGAATAATGAACTATGACTGTTTGCTCTCAAAGAAATTATTTCAGATGTTCTAAATCAGCGTTCTCCAAATCTGTCACTTCAAAACCACCTTCACAAATTTTGCCAAAATTCACATGAAATTCAATTCTACTATTAATGATCTCATTTAAACGGACTCATTTGAGTAATACTTATAGAATAAACTTTAATACTTCAATAAATGAAGGCTATCATCCCTTGCCAGGGATAAAAGGACACTATAGAATGAATGCTGTAAAAAGGATATTTAAGATATTTTTCTGAATTTTATCCTATTTATTAGTATGTATTTGTAATGCATAATGAATACACTTCTCATGGGGAGCTGCTACATACACAGATTACATTTTCATTCTTTTTACTTCTGCTTTCTTCTCCCCACAATCCCTAAGTCCCTTTCTCATCTGCAAAAGATCTCCCTGTTCCCTGTCACCTTTTATTTTGCTCTTTATTTACACTTTGAGCATCTGAAGTAAAAGAGACCGTGTCCTATTTAACATTCTGTGTCTGATTTATTTCACAGCATTATGGTTTCAAGGTAATGCTATTAAGATTGATAACACTGTTTTTTCCAAAACTTCCTCAATCTTTATTCAAAAGTGAATTTCACAGAAATTAAAGAGATATTAAGGATACAATTAGAACCATCAGAAGTAATGGAAAAGAACCAATAGAAATAACATACTATGTTTCAAACAACAGGAAAACATCATTAAGATTCTTTCACTGAGTTAGACTTTCACATCCATGGTCAGTTTGAATCAGTATGACCTACTTTTTCCACAGTTCTTAGGACCCTCAATGGATAAGAGCAACAAATAAACCCAAGGTAAATGTATCTTAGTAATTAGAAAGTTCCAATTTAAGTAGTAATGATCCTGCCTTTTCTGATTCAGTTAAATGACTTGTGTGAGTTACTAGAGAGCTGATGATTTCAATTTCCTCATCTCTAAATTAAGATGGATAATATCCACAAGAATATTCGAAGGAACAAAAGGGAACTCAAATGACCTGTGAAAAACAAAACGCCACTTTACTAGCATGAAATACTGTCACTACTTACCATCATCTTAGGTTTATTTATTATCTTATACCAACCTTGTATCAGCCCCTGTCTTGCTTAGCTATTTCCACTTCTGTTCCAAAGCAGCATCTCCAATTATGGTCAATGATAAATTCAAAATTAATATTGCTTTGATGCAGTTTCAAATACTGGGGAAAAACTGGAGGGCAATTCCAGAGTAATCTATGGTATTAGTTTTACAACTACCTTCCTAAATAATCCGGTGAGGCCTTTAACACATATTTCTAAGGTTGTTTCCTAATACTATATTGCTTGACCTGCACAGGAAACCTGTGAATCCATCCTCAACTGTGCCCTGGAAGAAGTAAAGCAGTTCCACCAAGTACAGAAGCCAGATCGCAAGCTCTTTGGGTTCCGCCTACCTTCCAAAACACCACCCACCACCTCAGGAGTCCCAGATACTGGATTGGTCATAGATGGGAAGACGCTGAATATCATTTTCCAAGGCAAGCTAGAGAAGAAGTTCCTGGAGCTGACTCAGTACTGCCGATCTGTCCTGTGTTGCCGCTCCACCCCACTCCAGAAGAGTATGATTGTCAAGCTGGTGCGCGACAAGTTGAGCGTGATGACCCTTTCCATAGGTACCACCAGGCTGAGATGTGGGTGGCAGCGTGGCAGGGGTGATCTGACAAAAGTCTTGGATCAAGGATGGGAGGCCTGGTATCAAAATCAAGACTTTCGTAGTCTTAGGAAGTTCAAAATAACAAGATGATACAGCCACAAGGAGATGAAGTGGAGACTAACCAGAGAGAGAAAAAAATCAAAGGTCTCAGAACTAGCAGGTCAGCTAGACAAAACTCAGGATTTGGAGGTCAAGGCAAGGGCATTCAATTCAGACCACGCAGGCAGCTCAGGAAATGTCACCACTGACCCCCCAGCCATCCCAATTCCGATGAGCTCTCAAATGAGGATGAGCTCATTTTCCCTCAGTATTTATACAAAGCAGCACCTCAGGTATTGATGAATTTAATATTCTCCTGAGTACAGCAGGTTGGTAATGAGATTTTTTTAGTTGGGACTGGCTCATTTTTATTTTGTATGTTTATTACTAAATACAAGACCAGCACAAAACATATCCCCAGTGAATGCTGGTTGGTTACAAATTGCTTAGAAGAGAGTAATTTTAATGATGTTGAAGCACAGAAATAAAAACTGTTCACTTAACACTTTTCAGAAGCAACCAAACGTAACATACAACAATCTTCATGCCATCTCTCTTACCATGATTACCTGCCTCTCCCTGTCATTTGACCCTCTTGTTCCAGCCAAATGAAACTGCTCTCCATCCTGCATGGGTCCTGTTCTCTCTCACATATAGCTCTTTACATGAGCTATTTCCTCAGTAAAACAACCATTTCTCCAGTTGCAGTTAACTTTCTTTTCCTGTGAGATTCCCCTAGCAACCACTACTCACAGATCCAAGCACCAGTAACCCTTCTGTGAGCGTCACCTCAATAAACCAGGAGCTCCGTGGGCTGAAAACCTCAGGCTGCTTTATTCACTGTGGGGTCACATGCCAGCACACACTGAGCACATAGTATCCTTGTTGCACTTTTCAGTTTTCAGGTACTTAGAGCCAACTGCGGCCCAAAAATAGTAAATGGAAAGTTCTAGAAATACTTTGCGAATCTTAAATTTTATTACAGTATATAATTTACTATACTATTTTGCTTTATTGTTAGTTATTATCGTGCATCTGATCATGCCTAATTCATAAACTGTACCATAGGGATGTATATACATGTAAGAAAAATCAGTTTCAGACCTCCCCGGAGGATCCTGGAACACACCACCTCAGATAAGCATGGGCCACACCATTGCTCCCACTTAGTGACATTTATGTAGCTTCTCTTCTTTCCACACAGGCATGGAGATTTTCTCTTCTAGTGTTTTCTAGTAGACATTGTACTCTCCCTCTCCACCATCCCCCTCCCGCCTCCAGCCACACCTGATTGTCAAATAAAAGTAATTTAGAATTTCAAAAGTGGAGGTGTAGGAACAATGCAGGAGCAGACCTTTAGCACCTGTGTTCTACTTTTATACTCTGAATTGTCCCCAGCAATAATTCCGACACACAGAAGGCAGGGCTGACTCTGGAGGGCCAGTGGCCAGCTTCACTCCCATAGCAACAGAAACAAACCCAGCAGGGCGAGAAATGGCAGGGCTCCACACCTCTGCTTCGCCGGGTGTGTGCACAGAAGAGGTTGAAGGTTGGATTTGTTCTGCTACAGAAAAGATTAAAATTACATGCTGCTATGCTATCAAGAAAAATAATCATTGTAAAAATGAAGTTTATCTATAATGACAACTTTTTTGGTTTTGTGTTTTAGTTGACATAATTGTACATATTTATGATACAGTGACAAAAATGTTAATGTTCTGTGGTCAAATAATTAAAGGGAGAATTATTGTCTCTCCTCCAACTTTATATGCTGTATGATGAAAAATACAAACAATTGCAGCTTACTCTGAGAAGCTACTAGAAAAAAAGAGATGGAGTCAGGCGAATACAGGCAGTGTAGTACACAAGATGGGCTAGCAAACCACAGCCCACTGCTAGCCTTTGTATGGATGCTAAAAATGGTTTGTATATATTTTGTCTTTGTATTCTCTTTTCCTTTTCACTCTTTTTTTAATTGGATATGCATACTAACTAATGGGGTTTATTTTACAAGCACATAACACTTTGATCATTGGGTTTTTATATTTTAATGAAAATTTTATAAAAAACGATTTGCTTTTCAATCAGAACAACTGTTTGATTTTGCTTTCTGGCTCACACAACCTAAAATATTTACTATTTTACCCTTTGATTTCAGTTTGCTAACTCTGTTTTAAAACATAAGGCTTCAGAAAGGACTCCCAAATTAAAAACATATTACATTCTTTGCTATTTTTTCTAAAATAACTTTTCCTAATATCTGACATTCCTCTGTGACCGAAAAAATACAGTTTTTAATGATGTTATCCTAGAGAAAAAAAAAAGATTAAGTAATGAGAATAGTTTCTATTCTTTTTTTTTTTTTAATCAGTACTGGGGATCGAACTCACGACTGTCTGCTTGCAAGGCAGGTGCAAATGCCACTGAGCTAAATCCCCAGCCCAAGTAATGAGAATAGCCAGGCTTCCAGAGAAGGCCTCATTTTCAGAATTATGAGTGAAACTACACGTGATTACTCGAATTTAATTAAAAGTAAATAAAATTTTACCAGCCACATTTCAACAGCCAAAAGTAGCTAGCAGCTTCTGTGCAAGGCCTTGTAGATCTAGCATATTTCTGCCATAACAGATCTATTTGACAGACCTGGCACAGAGGAAGATCACGTCTGTGTGTGCATGTGTATGTGTCTGTCCATGGCTTACCTTAGTTTCCTGATACAACTCAGCTAAGTCTCTAAGTTGCTCGAGTTGCTCATCAGTAAAGCCCATAGTAATATTTGCACAGGTCTTTTTTATACTATAAAGAACTCACTCTCCATGGCTCTTTTTCTCACCATTGTACATCCAGTGCATAATAGTGTGCCCAGGAGAAAGACCCTTAAAAATAAATATTTGTTCAACAATAAAGAAAAAAGTAGGACTTTATCTCTTGCTATGGAGAAGATATTTTTAAAACTTAGTTGGGTTCAAATGAGAGCACTTTACAGCCATCTCACTGTCTTCGGGCAGTTGGGCCAGGAAAAGAGACAGCTTGTGATCTCTCTTTCAGGTGACGGAGCAAATGACGTAAGCATGATTCAAGCTGCTGATATCGGCATTGGGATTTCTGGACAGGAAGGCATGCAGGTACTGTGCTCAGCAACTATTCTTCTGTCTACTCGCCTTTATCCTTTACCCTTGTTTCTTCTCACTAGAGACGGAAGAAATAACCACAGTGATGGAGAATTTTCAACTGAAAGTCAGGGGTCTTTCATGCCTCTACCAGGACCTCCTGCATTACACTGCTGTTGTCAGACTTTAAAAATCAGAGGGAGATCCAAGAACATTTGGTTTTTATAGATGGCCAATGATACCTGCACTCTAAAGCTAAAGAGTACAGTAATACAAGCTTCCTTGACACCACATGTCCTCTATTGTCCACCTACGTCCAGAGTCACAGTGCCCTCCAAAGCATTAACAGAACGATATTTTAAGGCATTCTTTAACTGCCTTTTAGCCTTGCTGGCCAGATCAACCCATCAGTTGCTTGGTACACTTGGACCTAATCTACTCAAAATGCAGCATGTAACAAGCATTCTAACTAGAGTTACTGTTCTTTCTTGCTAAAAACTGACCCTATTTTGTGGTTTGGAAGCATTAATAATTATATTCCCACTACCAGTGTAGACATTTGGCATTGTCTAAATTTGTTGGTAAACATGAAAGAACATTGACCAAGGAGCCACAAAATGTTACCTTTGGGTATGTACCTTATGCCAGTTCTGTTGGGTACCTGACATTTATTATCTCATTGACTTTTAATAATCACCACAATTAGGGATTGCTGTTCTGTTCTTTTCAGATGAGGGAATGGAGGCTCAGAGAGTTGAAGAAACCTAACCAAGAGTCACACTAGGATTTATAACCAGGAAGGTCCAAACTTCATATTCTTAAGAGTACTCTGGAGTGTATCTTATGACTGTTCTCAGGGGCAGAAGATACATTTCAATTCCCTTAAAGGAAGAACTATCCATCCCTCAGCTCCCTCTATGAATGGCTCTAATCGGCTACCCCAGGGGATGACAGGGGAAGTGCAAAGGTTGGAGAACTGTTTGAATGGAAGCTCCTACTTGCTTGTTAATGACCACATTCCTAAAATGGAGCCTACCATGTATTTGGCCAAAATAAATGCTTTTGGGGTAAGTGGGTAGAGATGATGGGCCAGACTAGACTACTGGACCATCCTAGCATGGATTCTAGGGAGGTTTAGATCTGCCAGAAGAGAGGGTGTGGTGTCAGAATCCAAGAGGACTTTCAGACTCTGCTGCTCATGGAGGCAGAACAAAGCACCGCCCTCCATGGCCCTGGCAGCTTTGGATAGAAACCGAAGCCTCTGCTCTGTCTTCACAGGCTGTCATGTCCAGCGATTTTGCCATCTCCCGCTTCAGACACCTCAAGAAGCTGCTGCTCGTGCATGGCCACTGGTGTTACTCACGCCTGGCCAGGATGGTGGTGTACTTCTTCTATAAGAACGTGGTCAGTGTCCCTGTCATCACCTCCCACTTGGGCCATGTAGTCCTTTCCAGAGCCAGATCTCCTTAAAGCAGTCAACACAGTACCTCAGAGTAAGGGGATGATTCAGGCTGGCTGGAGTTTGGGTCCTAAAATTGTCCTCTACTATCTCTGTGACTTTGGGCAAGACTATCCATGTCTATGAACCATAACAGAACCTTTGAAAGTTACTGTAAAAATTGGCAATCTTGCATAGAAAGCACTTGGCATATAGAGGGCAGCACAAACGGTTCCAAGTATGGACTCCACAGTCCACATACTGGGTTCTTTTGTTTCTAAACCCCAGTTTCACTAGCTTTATAATACACATAGTAATAATATCTTTCTCATATCTGGGCTATCAGTCAGCTTTTCATCGCTATGACAAAATCCCTAATGTGATATTTAAGGAGGAAGACTTTGTTACTGCACCATTTGTGATTTCAACCCAAATGTGATTGGTTGATCCATTACTTTTGGGCCTGTGGGAAGGCAAACTATCATGGTGGGAGCACGTGGCAGAGGAAGCCACTTGCCCTGTGACAACAGGAAGTGAAAGAGAGAAAGGGCCAATGTCTGAATATCCATGTTTAGAGCACACTGCGGGTGACCTCATATCTTCTCTCTGGGCCTCATCTCCAAGTGGTTCGGCAGACTGGCAACTGAACATTCACACCTGGCCCATTGGGGACACATACCCAATTTACTATGAAGTTTAAATATGAGCTTACATATAAAATGATGGGCATGAAGTTATAACTCTGTAATGTTACCCATTATTTTTCATTAGCATCGTTGCTGTCATTAGTCTTACAGTTAAATGTCATAGATGAGATTTTTCTGTTGCAAAGAAGCAGGGCTTGAATGTACCTGACTTCTATCATAAATTTGTTCCCCATATAGAACCATCCCAATGTACTATGCCTGAGAGAGTGAAGGTCCCTCACATAATGTGGGCCTGGAGCCCCTGGCTTCAACCTGAGACCTGCACATCACTGGACACCTCCAGGCTTCCTCATAGAAGCTCCTCTAAAGGGAGGGCATGACCCATCTGTTGGCAAAAAGTGCCTGGGATAGGTGAATCATCCAAGTTAGAATCTTTTCTGACTTTAACATTCTGGGTGACATTGGAAAAGTCACTTAATTTAACTGCCCCGAGATTCCTCACCGATAACAAAGATAGTATATGATTCTCACTGTTCCTAGACGTATTACTATGAGTTTTAAGGGTCAGAGCTGTGGAAAGCACATAGTACTGTGCAAACGGTTTTGGTAAGACAGTGTTGTATCTCCTAAAAATTATGCTGATTTCTGTCTAGTTGTCAGGGGGTCCAAAAGAAGCCCACACTGTGATTTTCAAGCTGCCAGAGATTCTAAAAGTCTGTGATTAACAGTGGGTATAGCAAAGAGTCAGAACATCACCATACTAAGTGAGGAACAAAGGCCTGAGTTTTTCATTACCTAATTCAAAGCCCCATGAATAATCCCCAGAAGTTCCCAAATGGAATCTAATTCCTCTTCGCAGAAGGAAAAGGGGAAGGTTAAGACCAGGGTGGATTAGTCAAGGAACAGGTAAAAAACTGTGGCTTTTTTGCTCTGGGTCCCTCTGACAGTCAGCCTCACTCAGGAGTGAGCTTATTTCAGTGCCAAATTCAATACATATGCAAATAAAGAGCAGACAAAAAATAATGTAAATTCGACCAACTAGATGGTAATATTATCTCAGCAAGTCTACGCAAACAAGTCGCTCCATTTGAGTTGAAACTCTCTCTGAGCATGAAAGGCTGTTTATTTAGAATTCAAAATGCCCCTGTTTTTTTTTTTTTTTTTTTTTTTTTTTGTAACCAAAGGAATCGTTCTTTTCAATAATAAAGCTCTGCATTAAATTTGCGAAATAGAAAAGGAAACGTTTCCAACCAGCCATGCTTTCAAACTTTAAATGATATTTATTTCTAGCCCGATTCCGTGCTCAAAATTGTGATACGGATGCCACATTATCTTCCACTACAATTAGAAGGTGGAGAACTATGACTCCCACATCCGAAACCAATTTCAGAGGGGATTAAAACCCTCCCTGCACTGAAATGTGAACAATGAATTAATTACTGCACTGAAGCTTCTTAGGAGAAAGCAAGCATCCCGTCTCTGCGATGCTGCTGCCAGGGAGTTCAGTGGGCTCCCAGTGAGGTGAGACCTGGAGATTTCAGCAGGCGCAATTCCCCCCAGGGCTCAGGGAGGAAGCAATCTTCAAGAGGCCATGAAGAACTGGAGAATGTAGATTGACTCCAGCTTCCCAAATAACTACTGAATCTCTTCTGTGTGGGAACAGTGGTGTTAGAAGGGACAGAATGGAGATGGAGCCACACAGCAAGCCTCAGGGCTCAGAACCTCTTTTCTGCAAGGGGCCAGGCTAAGGATATTTGCTATGTTACAGGTCAGAGATGTCTAGATGAGTCTAACTGTGTAGGCCAAAGACAGGACCAAGAAAGGCTGGAGTATTTACAGCAAAAGCAGCTTGAAAATTCAGATGCTCACTGTACGACCCGCTAGCTCTCAGCCTGGGCAAAGAGCAGCCAGGTATTTCAGATCCTCATCTGTAGACAAGGGCTAATAATTGCTACTATTGTTACTGCTCTCAATATGGTCTATTAATATAACAACAAATACTATACTATTATTAGCAAAAACAATCTTACAAGATCATTAGGACAAGTTTTGTGCATTGTATATCTAGTAACCCACTACACAGTGATATATAATGTGGATTGTTCACAACATATATAGGAATAATTATAATAATTGGCATTAGAACAAAGACTTAACATGTTACTAAATTAATAATAATAGCCTCTTCAAAATGCAACCAGCCAGGGAGTTAGGAAATGAGAATTCTAGTTTGAACATAAAGCTGCTGACTCATTTCTTGTAAGACCCTTCACATGTCTGCCGCAGAACCAGAACATCTCAGCTCTGTGGGACTGACTCCAGGACCTGCTGCCCATGTGACCCTGGTCAAGTCACTGACACGTTACACGTTACACTATACACTATACCACAGGGACCTCGCCCATCCCCAGGCAGTCAGAGATTTCCAAACACAATAATAAAGCAATGACTAGGTAGATTGTCCTATCTGCCCTTCTGAATAATAAATAAGGGAGTGTGTGGAAAGGTAAACCTTCTCATGAGATCAGCTTCTCACAGGCTTCCTGCCCACAGCTGTGGCTTCTGCCAGTGACACCCCTTTACGATACATAAGCACACCGTTGCCATTTGTGCAACATGGCCTATGCATTACTGTTCCTGGGACAGGTGACAAAGTGCTGTTCAGAAAGGTTAACTAGTTTGTCCAAAGTCACACAATTAGGAAGTAACACACCTGGGGATTTAAAGCCTGTCTTTTAAACCACCGTTGTATCCTCACTTCACATGCTAATGGCGTTCCCTTGAGGGGGTCTTGAAGAGCATTGATAATAGCAATAGAAATATTAATAGCAGGAGCTGCTGCAGCAAGGATTAAAGCTAGGCCTGCATGTTAGGCATGAGGAGATGGAGGGCCCCAGCGCACAGGTGAGAGGTCAGAGCACGCCGGCAGCAACTGCTGACCAGCAGCACACAGGGCCCTGGCTCACCAAGCCTCCTCTCTGCCTGCAGTGCTACGTCAACCTGCTCTTCTGGTACCAGTTCTTCTGCGGCTTCTCCGGCTCCACCATGATCGACTACTGGCAGATGATATTCTTCAATCTCTTCTTCACTTCTTTGCCTCCAATCATCTTCGGAATCCTCGATAAAGACATCTCTGCAGAAACACTCCTGGAGTTGCCTGAGCTGTACAAGAATGGCCAGAACTCTGAGGTAAAGGACCCATGCAGCCAGGAGGAGGTGACCTTGGAGTATTTACAGCTTGTATGTGGCCTCCCTCACTTCCTGGGTGCCAAAGAAAGAGCACTAGGCTACCAGTTGAGAGCCTTGCATTCTGGCCACTGTTCTGACACTGACCTCTGGAATCACTTTGAATAACTCCTCTCCTAATTCCTGGCCTCTGTCTCATTTGCTGCTGAGGGTGTTGCATAAGATCAGTGATTTTTTTTTCTTTTAATCACTTTTAAATTATATCACAGGTCAAGACTGACTTCTCTAAGTGAAAGGGAAAAGAACATGCAGAAAAATGCTAAATCTCTACTAGGACCTTGAAGTATATAAATTGAATCCCCACAATAAAGTGTATTAGTTTTTTGAAGGTATTATGACAAAATATTCATACTGGAATCTGCATAATGTAGAAAGAAAAGAAGTTTATTTAGCTCACTGTTTTGGATGCTGTGAATGCAGGTTCAGGCAACCTCATCTGTTTGGTCTTTGACTGCATCAGACCATCAAAATGGCATCACAGTAGGAACGTGAGCGAGGAGGAGAGGTCATAAGGTGTTATGGCTTGTAGCTAGGTTTACCCCCAAGCCCTCATGCTGTCATAGGTGAGGTTTTTCAGAGGTGGCTGGGTCTAGGGTGTGTGATGCTGGGGTTAATGGTGCAATGGTAGGATTAAGAGTGCCCCACCCTGGGTGAGTATAAGAGACAGAAACACGGCTACTGCCATCACTTGCTGCTGCTGTCGCCTGATGCTCCTTGCATGCTGCTTTGCTATCTTCTGCCTGCCTTGCCATGGACTGTTTCTCTTCTGAGATGCCCCTCCACCATGTCACCCTGTCTCGGAGCCAGCCAACTATGAACTGAAACCTCTAAAAATTGTGAGCCAAATAAACTTTTCCTCCTTTAATGTTGGGTGTCAGGTATTTTGTCTCAGCAGCAAGAAAAGTGACTAAGACGGGGGTGAGACAAGAAGCCAGAAAGATCTGGGGGCAGGCCTGATTTTTTTTATAGCAAACCACTCTCAGGGGAACACATCACTCTCTGAGACCAGCATTAATCACCTCCCATTAGGTCCTATCTCATAAAAATACCATCATCTATCTCTTCACGTCACCACACTGAGGACAGGGTGCCAGAACTTGAACCCTTGAGGGACATATCCAAACCATATCCAATCCATAGCACCTAGTTTTGGAAGTCCTGAGTCCAAAAGTTAGTTTGCTCAGGACCGGGTAACACACTCATAAATGAATGCTTCTGCTTCGCAGTGGGAAAGGCAACACTTAAGTCACGATCACACATAGGCAGGACCTTGATATCAGGTTGAAGGCCTGGAAAGACGTCAAACATATTTTTAGAAAACAGGGCAGCCATGAATGATTTGCAGAAGGCAGACGGCAGGCACTGCAGGTGGTCAGAGCAGCCCAAAGACAAGGAGATGGGACGGAGAAGACCAGAGAGACCCTGGCTGCCTTGCAGTGACCCAAAGACAGGAAGAGAAAACAACGGAGCAGTCCAAGCAGGAGGCCTGGGGCAGCCCAAACATATCTTAGATTGTTCTAATTTCCCTTTCCCACAGGCACGATGGGTACACAGCACACTCCCTGAGTGTCTACCATGTAAGGAGGTCAGTGTAGTGAGAACAAACTGTGCAGGTTTTCTTTTTCCCCAGGAAGACAGAAAACATGAAGCAAAAAAAAGGTTTTTCTCTGCAGCCATCGAGTTGTCTCTGTGGTCCTGTAGTCCTGGGATGTGAATGATGTCACTTAGAAACTTTTAAATGTATACATGGTCCGGGTTGGTAGTAGCACAAGCCATAGAAGCGGTGATTGATATTAACCACCAGGCACTTGCCAGATATCAAGGCACAATTACACCTAGTCCTCCTTAACTCGAAGCAAATGTGCTTATCTACATCTAGGGAAAAAGAAACCAGTTCTCCTCAGAGCAGTTTAGTAATTGTTAAAAGGTCACACTCTGAATAGCAGAGTTGAGACTAGCACTGAAATCAGTCACCTCATGCCTGTGCCCCATTCTATTGTGGCTACAAGAAGTATTGCAAGTGACATATTGTCTGTTGGCCACACACAAAGAACAGAGTTTGCTTCGGTGGTAGTAACTGTGGGTGTGTTTTTCCCTGGCAGTGTTACAACCTATCAACTTTCTGGATTTCCATGATGGATGCATTCTACCAGAGCCTCATCTGTTTCTTTATTCCTTACCTGGTAAGTCCCATGGTGTCATTCTAGACACCTAAGTCACAGTGTGTGACCCATCCTGGTTATATGCAATTGCAGACTAGCAGTATCTTTTTGGACACTCCAGAGTAGAGGATCCAAACTGGTGGTTGCATTCTACATCCTAGATAGAAAGTTACTTTCTAGTGGCTTTTGAAAAACTGAGAGCTGTTCTTTTACTGGGTCATTTTTTTGCCTCATAATGAGAATCCAGAGTTGACTCAGCCCTGCTTAGATGGGGAACATGTAGTCTAATTTTCTAGACATTGTCCCCTCTATTGCCCTTTGTCTTACACCTGGAACATTTTGCTCATCCACTGCTTCCTGTCTAATTATTGAAGATGTGTGAATTTACAGCCCTTGAATTATATATACATTTGTGCTTCCAAGGTCAAAGCAGCAAGTTTTGATAAAAATTGGTACTATATTTCTCAAGTAAACAGCGATTACATGACAGCAAATAATACCAGTACCATCTCAATTTGATTCCCTGTTTAAATTACAGGGGTTTAGAAAAGATACCTGTATCCTTCCTGGACAGGGACAAGGTAAACAATGACGCTAACCCAGCCTCTGAGCTCATATTATTTTACAATTAGCAACAAGAGAGAGGTATGGAAGGCAAGCATCCCAGGCTTTGTTCAAATTTACCAGTTTCCAACTGCCTCTGTTTGTCTTTCTTGCTTTACCTTTTTCTCCTACCAAATGTTTAACAGATATAGCACAGGAGTACAGAGTTCTACAAACCTACCTTGTTTATCTTCAGGACTTTTCCCTGAACTGCAGTTCCCTGTGTTCTCAAGGGACTGACTTCCCTTACTCTCAGCTGATCTGTCTTCTGTGTTTCCAGGGCCTCTTGTCCACCTCTCTACTGTCCTCATCTTCACTCACCACTTTAAATTGCAGCATATCTCTTGAGCCTAACACACAGTAAAAGCACTGAAAATGGACACAGAATTAGCCTCAGCACAGTGCCTGGGGTGTGTTCAGTAAGTCCTTTGTTCATTCATTCCACAAGGGTTTCAAAACCTTCATGATGGATTCTTCTGGTAAACATACCTCTAAACAATGTAGTCTCATCAGCTTATCTGTCATGTGTTCCATTCATCTGTTCCTTTCTTCTTGTTCCTTCCCCTTGCTTGACACCTGTCTTCACTGATATTTTTTAATTACTGTATCAAAGTCTTAATCTCACAATACCTGTTTGTTCCTTCTCTGCAGACCTACAAAGACTCTGATATCGATGTCTTCACGTTTGGAACTCCGATCAACACCATCTCCCTCATCACAATCCTCTTGCACCAAGCAATGGAAATGAAGACGTGGGTAAGAATCCCAGGTCCCCTTTAGCTTAAAAAGTATGCTCCTGTCTATTGACAACATTAAGATTTTTGAGTCATTTCTCTGCATTCTGATATATTCAGGAAATACATACTGAGCCCCTACGTGTATCCTACATGTAAAGGGGTGATTTGAGTAAAGATGATCCATCCCTGGTCTCAGTATGCTTATCCACCCAGGATGACAAATCTAACACACAGTAAACATGAGGCAGTTAGTTGCAAAAATTTGGTAACACTGATAAAAAACATTCATGGGAATTACAGAGGCAAAGAAAAGATTGGACTAAGCGTGCCTGAGGTTGTATACGGAGAACTGTTTCCCATTTAATTTCACTAAAAAACTGCCTTCAGATCACAACATCGCATGTTATGTGTCTATCACATTTTTACTTCTGAAAAGGCACTGCCAGCCTTCTCAATGAAATTTTCTAGTTTACGGTAAGTATAAAGACAAAGAACTTAAAATCATGAGTCGCACATATTGCCTTATTGAACCTCACAGAGCCTGTCGTGTCAGGTATCTTTAGATCCCCATTGTACAGATTTAGAAATATGTACCACAGGATTAACAAATCTAAGCAGTTAAGAGAAAAGCAGAATTTGCATGCTGCAGTCTGGCTCTTGAGCATGTAACCACTTTGCTAATAGTGTGAAGAGACAAGATTGAAGTGGTATATGGAAATCAGTACAGAAAGATTTATTCCTAACCACATTGAAATGGCCCTTTCTGAAAGCATCAAACGCTTGGAAAACTGCCCCCAAGTAGGTGCAAAAAATTCCTTCCTCTATTATGCAATGGAACTTATCTCACCATCATCATAAGCAAAACCGAAGAGCCACCAAAGGGAACTTGTGGATTTAAGTTCCCGTTTTGAAAACCCCTTGTGCTCTGAAGCATGCCAGTGACAGAACCGAGCAATGGAACCACCAGCTTGGCAAGATACTGAGCAGGCTCAATCTGCAGGCTTTCTGGACCCAGGACCAGACAGGGCTCTTGCAGGTGGGCTATGTGGCTTCTATGTGGTTGGATCAGCTTCCCCTCTCAAAAAGAAAGCAACCTAAAGTTGGCAGTGACAAACTGTTTGGAATTACAGCTTTATCAGAAGCCATGAGCAAGAAATACAAGAATCAAAGACATGACTTTGATAGGAGGAACTAAGCCAACCTAAGAGGTCTTTAGAGCTCTTGAAAATGAAAACTGGTCACTGAAATTAAAAGTTAACTTGCGGGACACCCTGTAGATCAGACTCCAGCAAAAAGCCAACTACCAAATTGGAAGGTAATATTGGGAACTCATCCAGAATGCCACACAATTCTGAAAAAATAATTAAGAGAAATGGTGGCTAGAATGAATGACTCCATCATCCACATAACAGGAGATGCAGGAAAGTAAAATGGAAAACCAATAAAGAAGCAATATTTGAAGCAGTAATGTAACAATAAAAATAAATCTGGGTATATCATAGGAAAATATATAATTAAGAGACCCAGATGTGATCTTAAAGTCTACCAGAGACTGAGTTATGTAAAAACAAATAGCAGTACTTTGACAGTCAAACCAGAAGTCATTAGAAAACAATGGATTAATTATCTTCAAAGACTTTTCATGTATGCACAACAACATTGGGTCCCATTAATAGGTGCAGTTAATACATATTAATAAAAATAGGGCAAAATAAAGTTTTTGATGAACTGTGAGGTTTATTACCTTTAGACTCCCCCCAACCAAAAGAAAGAATATATCTGACAAAGAAAATTTTTAAGAAAGATATAACTCCAAGAAATAACATGAGGAGGAGAAGGAGGAGGAACTAGTCAAACAGTAAAATTTATGTGACAGCCTTCGTCACACATGTGAGGAAAAGAGAGGTACACATTTCACAAAATGTTCTCAATTTATGAATGAGCTCTGTTCCAGGAGAATGTTTACAAATTAAGTCCATTCATAATCCTACAAAGTAAGTCTCATACAGTACACTTGTAAATCTTACACAGTATATCTGCAAAAGTCCACAATTCAAATGTTCATAAGTCAGACTTACTGTGTTTTTCATAAACATTCACATTAATTTCTTAGAAAGTTAAGGTTAAACACTACAGTAATGGGAAGGGGAAAGTATAGGAAGCTATCTATTCTGCAGAATGCAGGGATGATGAAAAGAGAAAATGACAAACAAAAAATACAACATATGCCCAAATCCAAACGTCAGTGCTCAAACTAAATGTAAATGGATTAAATTTTCCTTTTAAAAGAAAAATTATCATATTAGATATTTTGTCATAAGGATAAGTTCGCAAATTCATAATCACAGCATGAGATTATTTTACAGCTGTATCAGACTTGCATAGATCAAATAGACAGAAAGGAGAAAGGATGCACAGGCTCTGATTAAACATCATATTTGATCTAATATATAAAACACTGCTCCAAACAAATAGCAAATATACATTTTTTCAAACACATTGACTATTTGCAAAAGACTCCTCAAAAGTCTTAAAGAAAATTAAACTCTGACGAAACAGATTTTGTAGAGGACACAAAAAACTCTTGGGGATAGGAAAGATAATAATTATATGTACCATCAAGTTTTTAATTCATATATTTTCAAAATGTCTTTAAATGTAAAATTTACCAAAACATAGTTGATATCACTCAACAAATGTAAATAAAGAAAATCAAAGTCCTCAAAACATTAAAATCCAAAGGATTACAGAGGTGAGTTTGACCAAACTTGTAAGAGATAGATGACATCTGTTTTATAACCATTTATCTTCATGGAATAAAAAAAATAGGAAAAGATAACTTTTTAGTTCATTTATGCTGCTATAACAAAATATGAGAGAGTAGTTGATGAAGGATAGAAATGTATTTCTCACAAAATTAAGAAGAAAATGATAAAGAATCAATATTTGAAACATTAATCTTTGAGAATATTAAAATAAATCTAGTTATAGCACCTGTATTATAGTGAAACTGTACAATTAAGAGACCCATATTAAAGTCTACCAGAGACAAAGTTACTTAAAAGGGATGGTTGACTTTGACAGTCACACAAAAGCCACTGGCAAGCAACGGATTGGGAAACCCAAGATCCAGGTACTGGCAATCTCAGTGGCTGGCAAGGGCTACTCTGTGCATCTTTTCTGCATCATCTAAAGAGGGAAGGTAAAAGGGATGACCGCTGTGTCACTGCATGCCAGAAAAGATGAAAGGGACACAAGATGTATCCTCACATGGCAGAAAGGCAAAAGGCACGGAGGCACTGCCTTCAACCCCTTTCATAAAAGGACTGACCCACAGGAAAGAGCAGAGCCCTCAGGAATTATCCACTTCCCCAAACATTCTACCTCTCCATACTTCCTCAGCTGTGACTTTTGGAGGGACGTGTACACTGACACTATAACAATGTTTCTCATGGCAAGGATAGCAGATAGCAAAATGGACACGGCCAGGTCAAGGGAAAAAGTTATGAAACAATTTCACCAATGAACAGAGATGTAAAAAATTCTAAATAAAATGGTGGTGAATGAACTCAGTGGTAAGCACAACTAAGGAACTTCCATCTCCCGCTGGCAGACTATAAATTTATACATCTCTGCAAAGGGCAATTCGAAAATAGCTAGAAGAGTTTCAAGTACTCATTCACTATGACACAATTATTTCTAAGTATGCACCCTGAACATACCCTTACAGCAATATATAAAGAGAAGTGCACAGAAGTAGTGCTATAGCGTTGCTCATAATAGCAAACAAAAAGGAAGCCTAATTGTCCATCAAGAGTAAAACTGTGGTATATCCATATACTAGAATACAAAGTCCTTGCTTAGAATGTTTTGACTTACAGTGTTTTTCAACTTTACAGTGGTATAAAAGCAAGATAGAAACCATACATCAAATTTTGAACTTCAATCTTTTCTTGTGCTAATAAGGAGATAGTCCCTCAGAGTAATGCTGGGCAGTGGTAGCAACTCGCAGTCACCCACATAGTCACAAGAGTAGTAGACAACCCATCGCTATAGTGAACTGTATCACTCAGCTATGATGTGCAATAGATTAAGTGTATTATGATGCATGTTCAAGTTATAATGGGTTTATCAAGCCATCACCCTGTTGTAAGTCAAGGAGCACTGGTGGTTAAAATGAATAAACTGAACCTATGGCAACGTAGATAAAATTCTGAAATGTAATGCCAAGTTAAAAAATCATAGAAGTATCAGTCTGCTCAAGTTGGCATAACAAATACTATAGACTGGGTGGCTTCAAGAAACAAAAAGTTATTTTTTGCATAGAGACTGGAAGTTCAAGATCATTGTGTCAGTGTGGCCATTGGATACGGAAAGCCTTCTGCCTGGCTTGTCGGTAGATGCCTTTTAGCTATATTTGAAAAAGCAAATATAGACAGGGAGATAATGAAGGAGGGAGGGAGAGAGAGAGAGGGGAGAGAGAAACAGACAGAAAGACTTTCATTACAAGGACAGGAATCCCATTCATGAAGATTCCATTCCCATGACCTAATTACCTTTCCAATGGCCCCACCTCCAAACACCATCACATTGAGGATTAGGGTTTCAAAACATGAATTTAGGAGAGAAAACAGTACATAGGACACAAATGATAAAGCCAAAAAGCATCCATAAACATGAATATATAAACATGCATGGAAAAATTGATAAATACTAAAATTATAATTCAAGATTAAAAAAAGAGACCATTTGCAAAGAGATAGTGGTTCTTTTGCTTTGAGACAAAGCCTTGGTAAACTGCCCAGACTTGCCTTGAACTTGAGATGTTCATGCATCAGCCTCCTGAGTAGTATGAATTACAGGCATGTATCACTACACCCATTTCATTGTAGCTGTCAAACTTAAATCTTCATCTATTTTGCAGTATTTAATTACATTTTTTAAGTCAAGATATTTCCAAATGAAACTCTGCTCTCTGTGATCCCATTAACCAGCAGATATTTTTTAGCTTTTCAAAATGCCCTGCACATTGTAATGAGACCTCCACTGTATATTAAAAATCAGTAGTAAGCCTGAGGATTCTGTGCCCTCTCTTTGTCAAACTACTGCACCCATCTGCTTTAAAACATGGAAATACAATTAGCATTGCTAATTCACACAATGCAGTCCTAGACCAAGTACCCCAGTGGTCTCTTCTATTTCTGGCATTCTGCTGGAGTCGCCTGTTGAAATGAAAAATGTCTCCTTTGCAAAGTACTTAAATCAGTGGTTAGTCTAGTGCTTCCCTCTGCAGAAATAAAACAGAATTTTATTGAGTCTATTGAGTTTGTTGAATCTGTATTCACAGTCCTTACTAGAACTGTAAAAGTTAGCTAAATAATTTGTTAGAGAGGAGAATAAGTTAAAAAAAAAAAAACTATTGTCCAACATGACTATAGTTAATAACTACACATGTACTATAGTATTAAATTAATAAGAGATTTTTAAGTCTTCTCACCATGAAGAAAAAGTTTGTGAGATAATGTGTATGTTAATCAGCTTGACTTACTCATTCCACGATGCACAAATGTTTCAAAATGTGTTGCACATGACAAATAGAATTTTATTTCAATTAAATAATTTAAAAAAGAAAAGAGGAACTTAGCTCGCTCCTTCAAGGCATGACTTACTTGGATTATCTCTTCAAATGAAAACAAGGACACTAGATAATACTTTTTTAAACTCTATAAAAGTGTGAAGGGCTGATCACTGACCTAAAGACCAAAACCTCAGGGAAAGAGGGATTCTAGAGAAGCAAGTTGAACCAGTGCCGGTCTCTCTGCGGATATTTATGACGCTGCCCAAATGAATTTTTTTTTGACAGACTTGAGTAAAAGGCTAATAAATTAAAACACAGGTTCCTGGAGTACGAGCCTACTAACAGGCTCCAGAATATTTGGATATCGAAGTCACAGAGTAAGGCTAGGGGCACACTAAAGATGCATCAGCCTCTACCCTCTCATCAGCAGGTTCTACAGAGGTTATTCCTCCTATGCTGAAGACAATCAACATAAAGAACTAACCTCAAAGGTTGTCACCATAGGCTGGCCTCACATACATGTCCAGCCCAGGTCCACACCATCTGGGTAAGCCAAACTTCAACCTATAAATTCAGTGTCCAGGGAATCAAGACTGGCATGAGCCACTGACCCAAGGGCTTTGCAATGCATATACACAAGCCTGACTGCACGATGGTACCTACACACTAACCCTCAAACGGTCCCTACTAACTCTTTAGAAATAGTATCACACACTCAAAAATGACCATTCTCACAAGGAAACAAGAACCTACAAGTGAGAATCAAAGAAACAAATATATCAAATATTGAATTATCCCATTTTTATACAGAATCTATGCTCAGTATGTCTAAAGAAATAATAAGCTTTAAAATGTCACCAGAGGTTGGTAAATTATACAAAGTAACTTAGTAAATTTTAAAAGAGACCAAACAGAACACTCAGTAATAAGAATTACAATAATTTAATAGCAGATTGAAATTATTAAGAGGTCAATTAATTGAAATTATCCAAAATACAAAAGAAGAAAAAATAATGAAAATTACAGAAGAGTTGTTAAGAAATATAACATAAACTAGTAGATGAAAAATCAACATACATTTGGAAAGAATCTCAGAAGGAAATTATAAGATGGATAAAATACAGGTAGTATTTGAAAAGATATCTTGATAATTTTGCATAAGTGATTGAAAGACATTAACCCACAGATCCAAGAAGATTTAAAAAAAACCTAACCAAGATAAAAAACAAATCCATACTTACTGCATGTGGGTTATCCATACATACTACAATGAACACCAAAGATAAAATAAAACATGAACAGTAGGTAAATTTTTAAGAAATGAAAATTTCCATCTAAGGAACAACAGATAAAGAGATAAAGCTAGTTCCCCAATCATTATAGTGGAAGCCAGAGTTTCCAGTAAAATGGCAGAATGGAGAGCAGCAAAGAAACAGCCTCTCTGATTCTGGTATCCAGATCTCGGGATATAGCAATGTGAGGAAGAAGAGGGAAGGGGCCAAGCAAGGATCTGAAGCAAGAATTAAAGTACATGGAGAGAATTAAGAGAGGAACACAGCACAGAAGAGGGAAGTGGAAGCAGACAGGAGCCCTGGCTCATGGCATGGGAGGGGCAGTTCAAACCTGCAGATTCACAGTAACTACTGGTGACCCCAGAGGCCTCCACAGAGAAATGCACCACTGTAACAGAGCAGTGGATGCTGTGGACTGAGCTGGTTAGGGGGTTATTCAGGTTCAGACAGGAGTGGGCCATTGCTCAGGAGCCTTTTTGGAAGGGGGCCAACAGAAGTCAGAACTCAGAGCAGCTACAGATTGGCTCCATCTAGCACTCCAAAATGTTCTAAAGGACATTCTAGAAGGAGACAACAGACAACTCCATGAACACCAGCAGAATGAATCCACCCAGCAAGGCAAGTAATTAAACAGAGGGGAAAGAAAAGGACCATCCACTAAAATCAAAATGGATCGAAAGTCTGAATATTAAAATAGAAACACTAAATCTACCTGAAGGCAAGGTAACTAGAAATCTTGAAGACATTGGAGAATTCTTGAACAAAACCCAAACTGCATGGAAAGTATGTCAAAGAATCAACAACTGGAATCTCATCTTCTTAAAAAGTTTTTGCACTTACGAAAGAAATCACCAGCAGAGTGAAAAGAAAACCTACAGAATGGGAAAAAAAGTTTAACCAACTGTCCCTCAGACAAAGGGCTTCTATCTAGAACACACAAAGAATTGAAAAAAAATCAGGCCCCCCAAATTCAAAGACCAAATCCAAAAATGGGCATCTGAGATGAACACACAGTTCTCAGATGAAGAAATACAAATGGCAAATAAATATATGAAGAAACATTCAGCATCACTGATCAGTCGACAGATGCAAATTAGTGCAACCTTGAAATTCCATCTTACAAATGTTAATCTCCTATTATTTTGTTTTGAAATTCTGTATTTCAGTTCTTATTCCTTTCTGTTGTTTTTTAAATTAAAAAAAGAAAGAAAAAAGGAAGAAATTTAGAAAACAAAATAACCAGAGATGTAGATCAGCAGCACAGCTCCTGCCTGGCAAGTGCAAGGCCCTGAGTTTGATTCCCAGTACCTAAAAAGAAAATAAAAAGCAATAATAAATAAGTTAGGGAGGGTGTAAAAAGGATTAAAGTGATCTAACATGCTTGAGTGGTTCAAAAGGATGGAAAAATGATATACTCCAAGCCATAATAAGTTAAGATTGATACTTACTGAATTAGAAGTGAAATTAAACTGGGATATATAACTTCTAAACTAGTGCAGAAGACAAATTATACAAAACAGTATGCTTACAAGAAGACAAGATTGAAGAGAAGCACAAACCAGGCAGGACAAAATAAGATCAGATTACAAAACACTCTGTTGCTTTGAAAATGAATTCCCTACCATCAAAAAAAAAAATGGACTCATCACACAAATATAAAATTGAGACAAAAAATCACACAACATTCAACTTATCCAACATTTCAAAATAGGACACATAGGGAAACCTAAATGTGTGGTAAAGCTACTAAGGGTAGCGTGGAAATTATTACCAAAGACAAGGAAGAAATAAGTAATCTGGGGGCTCCTGGAGCATGGATATTCCAGTTCTAGGCGGTAGCAACATGGACCTTTGCTTTACAATGATCCATTAAACCATTTCACCTTTTAAACTATGTGTTTGCGTTACATTTCAAAACTGCTTAAAATAAAGTTAGCCAAGTATTTCAATTGCACTGCCCTCTAACCTAACCAATACCTTCAATGCCATTTTCTTCTTTCCCTCTGCAGACCTACATCCATGGGCTCGTCCTCCTGGGCAGCTTCCTGCTGTATTTTGTGGTGTCGCTGCTGTACAACGCCATCTGTGTCACCTGTAACAGTCCCGCCAACCCCTACTGGGTGATGGAAAACCAGCTCTCAGACCCCACCTTCTACCTCCTGTGCTTCCTCACCCCGGTCGTGGCTCTACTCCCAAGGTACGAGCACCATGGCCGATTCTTGCCAGCCCACTGGTCTCCTGTGATATGCAATTTTCATAACCCGAGCATCATGATTTGACCCTGATAGATTCCTTGAGGCTATTTGAACAGAAGTAGGATGCTAGGACACAAAGAACAATGAGCAGGAGAAAAGGAACGCGGACCCTGGTCTCAACTCTGGCATGGGCTCCATTGCAGCATCTAAAAAATGGGTGTAACCATCCATACCTTTCTGACTTACAAATTTTGTTGTGTGACAAAGAAGGCTTTTGAAATCCTCTGTGCTCCTTTATCTATTTATTAGCTAAGGAGTCTCTTGCCAAATACCTAAAGGGCCAGCAAGCAACTGTGACAAGCTGGTGACATTCAGACAATGGAAGAAAACTCCTCAGAGTCTCCCTATCACAGACACAAGGAAATCTCAAATGAAGCATTCCAGAGCTTTAGAATTTTCCCAGGAGTTTAAATTTGACATTCAGTCTCTGGCTTTTACTATTACTTAAATTTGTTCAAAACACACATAACATACAAAACTTTGTTAGCTAACGAAAGCACTGATGGCCCACAGACTGCTCCTGATGCTTCCAGCCTAAAATCCTTCATTTCCAGAATAGCAACAATAATGCTTTGCTTTTCCATGATACTTTCCCTGACTTTCACTCTCCTGTACACCCTCATACAGTATTTATTGTCTTTTCTGAACAGCTAAGAATTAGACAGCAATCTGGTTCTAGTCCTGCTTGTTCACGTAAAACCTGCAGTTCCACAAAGAACCAAGATGTGTCCACAACTCTGCAAATCTTAGTGAAAGTGAGATCCTCCTGACTCAGAGACCTATGTTCTCTTCTCCAGTGAATATTCTGATAAGAAAAATTAGTGAATTTGGTTGGCAATGGGAACTCATGGACAAAGTATCACTTTTTCTCCATCCTCAGAATCTCATCACTCTGAACATTAAAATTCAGGCTCTTAGCAGTATAAAGGTATCATCAGTGGACAATCCAACATTGGGCAGAACTTTCTCTTCCAAAATTAGGCAGAAAACTACCAACCATGTTGCTTCCTTTAATAAGTTTTTCCATTTGCTTAATCCATGCCAGTCTCCATTTCTTCTTTCTAAACCAGCTCACAGCCTTGACCTCATATGCAGAGTTGGAATGTAAAAGCACCAGGATGGCAAACAGCGTTACACCAGGGAACACCAACAACAGTAGTTCAGTTCTAAGTAACTGTTGTGTGTATGACCGCCTTACTTGGTCCCTACAGGTCACTGCAGCCTCTTCTCCCTACTCTTTCCTTCAAATTTTGGATTCCACACCCAGGACTCCAGGCTTTCTCACCTCCCTCCCTTATCTTACACTGACCTGTCTGTAATGCTCCTCCTCTTGCCCAGCCTCTTCCTGCTCTAATGTTATGTTAAGCATCACCATTTCCAGAATTTCTGTGAATTCCCTTCCTCTGCCTCCATCACCTGAGTATCTCTCTTGCATAAAGTTTCCCCACCCCCTGACTAGAAAGTGTCTGTTCATCTCTCTCTGACCATCAGCTTCTGCAGAGAAAGGATCCTCATCTGTATGGAAGGGTCACCCAGCACACTCCCCATCACATGGTCTGCATTCAGCTGAAGAAATAGCAGATACTGCCAGGGATTTAGCTCAGCGGCATAAGTGTCTGCCTAGCAAGTGTGAGGTCATGAGTTCGATCCCTGGTACCATAAAAAAAAAAAAAAAGCAAATATTGAAGAAAGATTAATAATACAGGACACTTGCCCTTAAGGAGTCTGTAATTCAATGGATGATTTGGGTATATCTGCCCATAATACAGGTGATACTGACTGGTACTAACAGAGAGACTTCAGAGTGTAGCCAGGGAGTAAATTAAGCCTCAGGGCACATTGCCACCCAGTTTCTCTTCAGTGCTCCCCTGAGAGGGGCCATAAGGATCAAGCTCTGGTTGGAAAAAGGTATCAAATATGTAATTAAACATTTTTGTTCCCCACTTTTGACATTAAACATAATGATAATCACTACTAGCTAAGGACTGAGCTCTTGTATTTCAATTCTTATTTGGAGTAGGCAAAATAAATTTATAAGCCCCCATTCCTTATATGAGACTTACTAGAAAACACATTCGGACCCAGAGTCTACAAAGCTAAAGCAGCTGTTTAATGAAGATCCTAGAAAAATGTGCAGCATGTTGACACATGTGTGTTGAAAGACCAACAGTCTGCCTGACAGAAAAGTTAGCAAATATTTACTTGGTGGCTACCCTGACGCATAGGTTAAATCTTTGCTTATTCCGCATTACCATGATAAAAGTTGAATGTTTGCTAAATTCTATTTACTAAAGAAGGCAAAGAGATTTCCTCTCACAGTGAAAGGATTATTTTAATAGTTGTAAGGACTGCCAACTTGGAACAATTCCTGTTAGTTTATTGAAATCTATGTGATAAAATGTGTGATGTAGAAAACTATATTTGATCACTTAAAGTTGTAACCTCCATTTATCATACTGGAGATCGATGGCACTCACCACACATGTGAAAATTAGCCTTCTAACCGTGACTTCACAAACCATGATCTTAATTCAACCAGTATAAAAGAATAGTACGAATTCCTTTGAGTTAGAAATGCCGATGTATATGTTATTTTACAGTTAAAACAAAAGTCAATAACAGCCTCAAAACTCAGTACAGCCTCATAGTTAGGTAAAGTAGAAGGCAACAGCCCCCTGGCTTTGGTGACCCCACACACTTAGTTGGGGTTTTCTGTTGTTGTTTTTTGTTTTTTCTACTTCTCTGTTCTTTTCTTTGCTGACTTATATCCTTGATACGGTATGCATTAATCCTGATCTCTCCTCCTACATTCTAACTTTATATTCACTTCACAAACACAGCAGTCACTGTGGAGGGTTTTTAAATCATTTGTAACTGATGAATCTTCACTACGAACTCCCAGCCCTGACCTCTCTTCTGAATTCCAGACATGCCTTTCTACCCACCTATTCATCACCTCACTGGGCTCCTGAAGTCTGAGGAAACTGGGAAACATCTGTAATGTAATCTGTGATTCCTTCCTCCATCCCCACAGCCATGCCAAGAACCTGGCTCATCCGCAAACCTTTCAGCAAATGCTCCTCCTTCAGAACCAAGGCAGACTTGGGGAAGCTGTCCGAGCCATCTTCTGCGGCCTCACCCCCACCCTCGCATAGCACCCAGTCCTGCATATTCTGCCTACTAAAAACTTCTCAGATCCACCTGTTATTTTCATTTCTATAGTCGCCAATACCAATAGGTTACGTGTGTTTCACCCCAAATGAATTCAGTATTCTTCCATTGGGTTTTTTATTATGATCCCTTATCATTGTATCAAAGTGAAGTCACCTATTTATAATGCCCTAATGGCTCCCCCAGGCCTTTCTAATAAAGCACAAAAAGCAAAACTTGACCCCCAGCATTTGCCATATTTCCCTTCTCCACATTATAACCACTGTGCCTGGGTTTTAATTCTTGCCCGTTTGCCTGCCTGTATCCTACACAAACTCAGTCTTCAGCTTAAATGCTTCTTCCTCAAGGAAGTTTTCCAGATGAGATGTTTAACCCTCTCTGGACTCTTCTAACTATATTCGTGCACTACATGAGAGCAAGAACTGTTTGTCCTGTTCTAAACTTAACTCTGTGGCACAGCACCTCAGGGAAGTTGACAAGTATTTGTTGGATAAATTGATGGAAGGCAAAAGAAAAATTTGATGGCTTGGGGGTAAGGTTTAGTGTTCAGATAAGAAATCAGCTCTCCTGAAGCTCAGAGATGGCCCCTATTACCTTACTTGTGGGTTGAGAAAGACTGATGAAAAGTTTATCTGACTTTGTGGGGTCTACCGTGGTCTTCAGAAACCCATTACCTACTGTGGGGTATCCATGAATAATGGAAGCCTTTCTGCTTCTAAGGCTTCAAAAATTAAAGCAAACATCTCTGGAAAGGACCTCCATTGTACTCTGGGATACATTACTTTTTAGACAAAGAAACTGACTCTTGGATGGAGCATACGTAGAGCTTTATCACAGCTGATATATGCTTCCCATGTGCTGCATATGGGAAGCACACTTTCCCTTGTCACACTTTCCCCTGACTGAATTTGCAACAAGGAAAAAACCGCAGACAGAGATAGAGACTCTCAAGGTCGGACTCTACACCTCAGGCTGCAAGCAGCTTGGCAGGAGGGAAGGAGTTCTGATTCAGTCAACACACAGATCTCTTACTTCTCAGGAGACCTTGGGAATCTCCCCTCCTTACCTGAGCATTTAGTTCCCTTATCTGGAAACCACTGTTAATAAATGGCACCTTCAAGTCAGCATGGTACATGGATCCTTGGGAAAAATCTATGTTAAACCTAAATTATCAAGTTTCTCAAAGGGTCAAATTACAAAGCAATTAAGCTTGCCAAAATTAAAGTAGATTCAAACTAGAATGGAAGACCTTGTACCTGGTACATGAGAGACAAGCCTCCGGATCCAGGGTGTTTTGTTCCAACCCTAGCTCGGCCACTGTGCAGCTCTAGATGAATCAATGAATCTCCTGGTGCCTTCAGTGTCTACATCTGTACATAGATGAAGATGGATAAGTATGCATCACTTAACAACAGCAGTACATTCTGAGAAATGTATCGTTAGAAACTTTCATCATACTGCAAACCCCACAGACTATACTGACATAAACTAAGCTGGCTCTGTCCCTAGGTGATTTAATCTAGGCCCACCACCATATATGTGACCTGTCATTGATGGAAACATAACCCGTGTCTGTACCAAACCAAGTGAATTGTTAGAAGAATGAGGTAACAATACAGATAACTGATAATATTCCTGATATTCAATAAATATGAGCTATTTTGTCACTGATATGCTCATTGACACTACAAGCCCCCAGAGTTAGATTTGCTAGCCATTGCTCGGGAGTGTAACCAATTGGATCCTGCTCTGGGTAAAGAATTAGATGCTAAGGCCCCCCATTTAATGCTGAAATTCAAGGAATCAACAAAGAAACAAACACTATCTTTATCCTTCTGTTTTCCATCAGGTACTTCTTCCTGTCTGTCCAAGGCACTTATGGGAAGTCTCTCATCTCAAAAGCTGAGAAAATTGACAAACTGCCTGAGGATAAAAGAAACCTGGAGATCCAGAGCTGGAGAAGCAAGCAGAGGCCTGCTCCTGTCACTGAAGTGGCTCAGACTCCCCACCGCCCAGCACCACCCGTCCCACAGCAGGACTTCAGAACCAGCACCCCGAAGAGCTCCAGCCCCCCCAAGCGGATGCTCCACGGACAGAGAGGCAGCAGAGAGGGCAGGGGGGAGGACCCATGCTTGGGGAGCCCCTTGACTAAACTGTCACCTGGTCAGCACCTTCTGGAGCCTCACAGGACACTGGTTCCTGACGCCTACTCCAGGGATCAGAATGACGTGCGCCGACCCTTGAGCAGAGGCAGCCATCGCCGCTCCCAGAGCTCACTGACCATCTGAGCGGGCTGCAGCCACCTGCCCACACTGGAAAGATCTCTGTCACCGACCCAGACATCCAGGACCCTCCCTGTCCACAGAGGAAAGGATCTGCCAGCCCTTTTCTTCCCTCTCTACTAGACTTGATTTCCTAAGAGCAAGTACTGGCTCAAGGAGTTTGACCAAGAAAGAAAAAGAAACAAAGAAAGACTGAAAAACTAGTTTACCTCCAGTTTTTCTTTTGCTGGCAGGCAGCGAATCTTACAAACGGAGTTTACATAGAAAACTACGTTTCTGTTGCGTTTCATTTTGCAAGTTTTTAGCCCAAACACATTCTCATCACTTTCTAGCTAACTAAAGCCTGCAGCACAATGGAACTAGCCATGGGATTCCAGGAAGCGTATCAGCCTGGGCAGGATCAGCCCGGGAAGTCACTGGGCTTGTCACTCCATCACCTCACCCCTCCGTGTCAGGAGCTCAAATCTCAGAAGACACCTGCACACGAGGGCTTCATCTCAAGGCTGCAGTGATGGCTCAGAAAGGTTCAGCATCCCTCCCGTCACCGAGGGTTGGGTCTGCTTTTGGTCTCTGACCCACGGAAACCACACCTACCTATGAAAACTAGATTTGAATTCAGTACCACAGACACTTTTGAGGATTGTAGATTCATAACTAGTGTAAGAGGCTAGAAGAACATATATGCTAAAGGGAACTCGGGCTCCTGAGATCCCTGTTGTAACTAATGTACAACACATCCTATGTGTTACCACACAAGGGATCATCCAAGCAGTTACAAGTACTCTTTCCCTAAAATTGTTTTTTATTTTAAAATAAAATTACCCATCCTCATTTAGTTCACAGAACAGAAAAACTCAAAGTTCTGGAGATATTAGCACATAGACCCTCATAATAGCCCCATATGCTACAGGAACTCAGGCCAAACAATGGCATCTTAAGGGGTATGGCTACTGTTAAGCCCTACACCTGTTTAGCTCATCCAAAATTATGGTACTGCCACCAGGATAACACTGACCCATGCTTCAGTTAAATTAAGGAGTCCTGGGAAGTCTTACTTCATAAGGAACAAGTACTTCACACATCCCTATCTTACCAAAAATGTTCAATAGCTCAAAATAGTTTTAAATAAAAGGGTGACAGAATATAAAATTCTAATGAGGTGTGTCAAGAGCAAGTAGGTCTGTGGTGGGCACCAATACCTATTCTTAATCTTTTAAAGACAAGGAGTTCCTGAACCCTCCCCTGCTTACATTAGTGCCTATAGACTGGGAGAAAGTGTGACAACTATTTGAGCCCATGAGTAAAAGCCACCAACCATGAATTAGCCTCTCACTTGAGTAAAGATACCTCAGAAAGAGGCCCAAACTCAGCTCAACAATCAGGGTAGCCAATGGCAGACTGAGCTGACCATTCCCTGGAAAATGTGGACTTAGCCATTTGGACTATCATGGTAGAGCCCATACTTACACTGTATTTCCCATACCTCCTCTGCCATACAATGATGCCAGCACCAACCAGCAGTGGACACTCTGTGCATGCTATGTGAAGATAGAGGGAAGGGATAGAAACATACCATGCAAAGCAGTAAGCATCTGAACCTTTTATAAGTGAGAAAATCAGTCAAAACTTGGCACCAGGCTCCTTCCTTTCCCCACGTAATTCCTGCCTATTACTAATAGACCCAGATAGGAGTTGTCAGAAAAGTAAACAGGAGATATGAATTTGTCTTTGTTCTTTCCCTGTATTCTTTGGGATCCAGGAGCCCTGAAGTAGGGTTCCATACTTCCAAATCAGGTTAGAATTGTCCTTTGGCATATGGATCAAATCCAAACTACATGGGGCTGGGGATTTAGCTCAGCGGCATAAGTGCCTGCCTTGCAAGCATGCAGTCATGAGTTTGATCCCTGATACCGATAAAAAGAAAAAAAAAATTACATGAAACCCAATGATGGGACTCTTTGAATGCAGTAACACTCTGTAATAGCACTCAGTATTTTTGCTTCACAATGAAGGGGGAAAGAGATGATGGGAAAGTTTAAAAATGTCTGTGATCTCTACCTACATACCAAACTGAGTCCAGTGTTCTGATACTACTATTCTCTTGCATGATGAGCCATCCCAGTTTGCCTAGGACCTTTCCATTTTTTACAAGTTCAATAGCCTGAGAAACTGGGCCAACTGGTCACCCACTCTTGCCATCCTTTGTAAACCAAACCAACTGTGACCATCCACTGTGCCATCTTATTCAGAGGAAAAAGTTGTAACAACTATTCCTCTGTAATATAATGCTAATGATTGTACTTAGTACATTTTTATACATGTGTAATCTTTTACTGACTGGACATATTTTTTAAAAAAAATAAACACGGTTTCCATAATTGTCTGCCATGAAGTTATTATTACTTTCGTTATATTATTATCACTAGTTCTGAATACTCTTTCATCCCTCTCCTAATCCATTCATCCTTCTTGTATTCATTTGCTTATACATGCATCCATTTATCTAATAAAGTTTAACTCCTGTTATGGTTGATACATTGTTTTAACTTGAGCAATTTAGAAGTTTAACTGGGAGACTCAGCAGGGAGCCAAGGTTCTTACTTTGTAAATATCCTCCTCCTATGCAAAGGAAGGCAAGGGGATTTTGTGAGTGCTATACCCACCATGGGGGATGGGGTGTTTTGTGTACAGTATTAGCCAGGAGAAGAGGTTTTTTCTCTCCTTTTGCTCTGGCTGCTGCCTTGAAGTGCTGCCCCAGTGCCATGCCACCCTGTCTTGAAGCCAACTGATTATAGGCTGAAATCTCCAAAAACTTTAAGAAATAAACCTTTAATTTTGGTACTGGGTATTTTGTCCCACCAATGAGAAAACGTAAGATATTAATGCATGAGTTGTTGAGGGTTTTTTCTAAACTAAAATGTCAATATTCAGGTCTAATTGCAACATTGGCTCTTTGTGATAAATAAGTGAATTTGGGTAGCAATTTGGTCACACTTGTCTCTAAGAGGTTTGCCTCCATTGTTCCAGAAGCTATTCGGGAAGTCTGGTACCAGTGTAGGGCTAGTCTGAGGTACACCCAAGGCCTAGAATTGACCCTTTCTGTGAGTATCTAAGTCTCTCTGTGTCTGTCTGTCTCTTGCTCACTTGCACTCTCTTTCACAAACACACACACACACACAAACACAAACACACACACACTCACAGTGTAGAAAGTTCCATGAAGGAGAGCCCCTGGAACCTTGTGCCCTACCATGTTCCTCGTGCTAGACGTATTACAGCACTCAAGACTCTCGTGACTGTTGATGCTAAAAAGCATATATGAGGCTGGTGTTATGAGAACTAAGTGAGGATATGAGGCCTGCCCCACTATCTGGCAAGATGATGAACCTACACATACACACGCACACACTCTAAGCCTTTTGAGGCATAAGGATACTGTATTAGACTTTCATTGCTGGGACAACTCATATGTTAATATCTTATGTTTTAAGAAAAAAAAATCCCACATGTGCCATTGGTTTGCCACTACCGCTCCATGCTTAGGGAAGTTTAGGAACTTCCATAAGACAGGTATCAAGTTCCTTACAGGTCCTGTCACATCGCCAGGTATCTGTTACAGGGTTGTCTTGGTTACTTTTCTCCATGAATGTTTAGATATTTGAAAATGATAAGATTTAATCCAGAAGACAAATTAAAATATCAGGCCACATGGTGCATGATGTAGGATAGATCTGCCTGACTATGGATCCTTCCAGGTCTCCTCGCATCACCCTGTTTGCAGAATGACAGCCTGAGGCTGAAGGATAGGCTGGACCACTAAAAAGGCACACTCAGAGTTCTTTTTGCAGAGGTAGAAATGAATTCCGAAGCCCCACCAACTTCTGCTGTTGAGCCCACGGTCCCGTCTTTAAAATGGCCCCACTCTTTTTCACACACACACACGCACTTACAAGCAATTATCCTTTTACTGGATGCAAGAGACAAGTGTATAAGAAGAAGCATGTGTTTGCTTTCCCATTTATAACAGTCTGGCAGGGAACACAAGAGCTCCAGGCAACATAAAATTTGCTAGGCCTGTAAAAGGAAGGCCTCTTCCTTTTAAAGAGCAAGGAACAGAGACCAATAAAAAGGATACAGGTTGGCAGAAGATAAGAGTTACCTTGGCTATTCATAATTACTGTATAAGCCTGCCTCCTGTCTGGTGTTCAGGGAAAGTAATTTGAAAGATCTGTGCCATATTGAAAATGAAACCTCAGGGTATGGCTTAATAGGAGTCTCTATCAAATAAGCCCACTGGCACCTTCCCAAGTAGGCTCTTATATCACATCCTGGCCCCATCATCCATCAGTTGGCTCTAAACAAGCAGAGGGTATCACTCAAGCCATGGTCTTAGTACCATCATGACCCATCTTAGTAACTCATCTATTTCTTTACCCCAAAGCTACTATGCTTGCAAGTCAGGTTGGTAGACCATGAGGAGGAAATGAAGACCAGTAGTTAGAAGACCCCACTGATGGCTGCTCCTGATAAAATGGGACACCCAGAGACCACACATCTTTTTTCGTTCCCTGCAAAGGCTAGTGTTTGCCCACTTGGCTTCTTTGCATCTGGGCAAACCGAGCTTTGGTACCCTTCCCAAACAGGCAAGTATGTGGTTGAGAATCAAGACGAAATTTCAAGTTTCTCAACTTCTAAAATGTCAACAACTATGTTACTCTACTTCCATGATATACTTTAAAAAGCTTCCAGCTGGATTTGGAGTCAGGAGATAGGAGCACTCTATATGGGCTCTTGAATGTGCACACATCTTATGCTGAGACTTTTCTTACCCTATGAACTAAGAAGGTTCACCTGGAGGACTTTCAAGAGCTCCAACTTTTCCTTAATTTGTGATTCTCATCCTTGAGTACACTTACTTCACTGAAATGTCCCTGAAATTTTTGCTCAAGCTATCACTAAAAAAGCACTGCTTTTTAATAGATGTGTTAAAACCCAGAGCAATTCAGCTCTTCAAAAGGATAATTAAAGGCACTAGGAAGTCAAGTGAAAACCTGCTGACTATCTAAGAATTAGCAAATCATAAATATAGATTGGGGATGTGTGGAGGGAAAGCAGGTGATAGGAAATGAATCTGAAGGATGCTGAGATAACTCCTGAAATAAATAAGCAAAGAGTCAAGTGCTCTATTATCCTCCATCTCCCAAATCAGGTGCTCCCAGAGTCCTCATCACCTCACTACTTTACCATGTCAAGTTCAGAATCCATGCTCACAGGAACTCTTACTAACTGCTCACCACTATGGAAGGTACATGCTTACTTTTTTCTCAATCCAAGTCCTCTACCTGTAGTGCCTGCTCAAAGCCACATCTCAAATGCAGACCTCCACACATCCATAAAGCTATTTTGGTTACTGAACGTCCAATGCTTTTGCACAACGTGGGTTGAACTCAAAAGACTTGGTGCTTATTGCATACATCTGTGTTTGTCAGTTGCTCCTGCTAGAATGCCACAGCCTGAAATCCCAGGCCATAATATTATTTCAGCTGGAGATCTTTCCAAGATTAGCACTTTGGCCAATAAGGGTAGTGGACAGCCAGGCCCAGTGATGCACACCTTTAATCCCATCACTCTGGAGACTGAAGCAGGAAGACCTCCATGAGATTGAGGCCAGCCCAGGCTACATAAACAAGTTCAAGGCTAGGCTTCATTACATGGTGAGACCTTGTCTCAAAAAAAAGGGGTGGGGGGGGGGGAGAAGACAAGAGAAGAGATGAGATGAGATGGTGGATAGCTCATTAGAATATCTTTTCATGTAGTCCTAGCCACATGTCCAGGAGGCATAGTGGGGAGAGAGACTTCCCTAATGTTCCTTACATTGGAGGTCTGTCTCAATCTCCCTTTTTTCTTTTCCTCATAGCCAAAGGCAAGATGATAGTCTAGGGTGCAAAGTCCTGAGAAAATCAATAGTTATTGAAAGCCTATATATTAAAAGAGTTTCGACAATATTCTGCATTCTCTCTCCTCCTTCAAAATTTCCCTCTCAGGGAAGCAGGATCATCACAAACTAGAGACAACAATACTCTCGCCTGTTTTACTGTTCTCATCACTGAAAGAAAATACCTGACACCAAAGTTAAAGGAGGAAAGGTTGATTTGCCTCACAGTTTGCAGAGGTTTCCGTTGATAGCTGGCTGGCTCCAAGGCAGAGGAGAAACAGGTCATGGCAGGCAGAAGACAGCAAAGCAGTGAAGTAGTAAAAAAGAGGCCATAGCAAGCAATGGCCGCAGCCCTTTTGGTCCCTGATGGCCCATCCAGTCCACACGCCCTTAGGGGGACAGCACTCACACCCATCGTGGGTCTTCCCATTATCCACACCCAGAATATGCCAGCTCACTCAGTGGACTGATTTAGTAATCACACACCTTTTATTCCAGAACCACACACTCTAGATCCAGCCACCTCTGAAAAATGCCACTTAGGGATACATGAGGTTAGACACAACTATCTAGACATCATCTAGATACCACCCTGTAGACACAAGCATAATGCAAGCTCTTCTAGGATAGCTACTAGGATATTCAGGTATGCAGAATGCATAAAGAACTAGAGGGACCATTACAAACTAATAACAGGCAAAGCCAGAATATTAGTATTTCAAACAATATGTTAAAAATAGAAATATTACACCAATAATTAGCATATGGTAACTCAGTGGAGGAAGGAGTCTCCCCCTCTGCAAGATGGAAGACAAAAAATCTAAGTATACTCTTAAGAATGTAAGCTTGATGTCATGTTGTTTATCTAAATATTGCATTGAAACTCAAAAGGAAATGCACACTCCACTGCAGAACAGATACGCAGCCTGAGAAGGGTGACCCAAGTTCTGCCACATGACTGACTATAGAAAAAATAATTTTAAGCATTTCCTAGAGTGTTTAGATGATGCCAGGAGAGGGAGCCATTTTAGAAGCTTCCTTTGCCTAGATATGAAGAACCAGGAAATGAAGAGCCAGGATGGGAAGCCACCCCTTTGCCTTGGGAGGTGGAGCCCAGGAACAGAAACTCCCATATTTTTTATATTTTTATAAGAAACAAAGGCCACTTCTTCACAAGGAACCAAAAGACCCTCCCTAAGACATCTTAGGCACAGGAGAAGAGTGGCTGTGACAGAGTGAGTTTACTAGAAAGGAAAAAACACTGCTTCCGGAAAACTGATCTCCAAGCTCTGAAAAATCCCAGCCATGGTTTCTGAGCAATGTAAAGCCCAACCAAGAGGCAAGAAGCACATTAGGACAGCCAGAGGAAAATTCAAAAGAAAAACGTTTTGAACATCATGTCAGCATAAGAATCCAGCCCCATGAGGTTTCATGGTAGTGAGG